TCCGTAGGAGACAATTTCAAAGAACACGCGATCCTGCCATGAAAGTTATCTGGCGGGATTTGCAAAAACAAATTAAAAAGCGATTCTCTGCCCTGAGGAACAAAACTTTTGAAAATAATGTTTCTAAATTAGACCCGAGTTCCAAACCCTTTTGGAAACTCACAAAAAATTTTGAAAAAACCTCAAAAGCCAATTCCAGCGATTAAAGAATGTGGTAAAATTTTGATCACAAATTTGGAAAAAGCTCAGAAACTTGCTAAGCAATTCGAGAGTTCCCATAATTTCAGTTTGGGTCTTACTAGTCCTATTGAGAATCAGGTTGCTCGGGATTTTCTGAATATTTCCTCTCGGGAAAATATTTTTGATGATTCCTGGGGGACTGATTTGGACGAAGTAAGGTCTATAACTAAAAAATTTCAAAATATGAAAGCTCCAGGTGATGATGGAATTTTCTATATCCTCATCAAAAAACTCCCAGAGAGTACCTTGTCTTTCCTGGTAAAATTATTTAACAGATGTTTCCATTTGGCATACTTTCCTGATAAATGGAAAAATGCAAAAGTTGTTCCAATTTTGAAGCCGGATAAAAATCCAGCTGAAGCTTCTAGCTACCGTCCAATAAGTTTGCTTTCTTCAATAAGTAAACTTTTTGAAAAGATAATTTTGAATAGAATGATGCTTCACATCAATACGAACTCAATTTTTGCAGATGAGCAGTTTGGATTTCGCCATGGGCATTCAACTACTCATCAACTCTTAAGAGTTACCAATTTAATTCGTTCAAACAAATCTGAAGGCCACTCAACTGGAGTTGCTCTTCTAGACATAGAAAAAGCATTCGACAGTGTTTGGCATGAAGGTTTGATTGCTAAATTGAAAAAGTTTAATTTTCCACTTTATATTATGAAATTAGTTCAAAATTATTTAACTGACAGAACTCTGCAGGTAAATTATCAAAATTCCAAATCTAATCGACTACCTGTTAGAGCAGGAGTTCCTCAGGGTAGCATTCTTGGGCCTATATTGTATAACATTTTCACTTCGGACCTACCTGATTTGCCTCAGGGTTGCCACAAATCTTTGTTCGCTGATGACACAGGCATTTCCGCTAAAGGAAGAAGTCTTCGTGTTATTTGCAGCAGACTGCAGAAAAGTTTAGATATTTTCTCTTCTTATTTACAAAAATGGAAGATTTCTCCCAACGCTTCCAAAACTCAACTTATAATATTTCCACATAAGCCTAGAGCTTCGTTTTTGAAACCTAGTAGTAGTCACATAGTCACTATGAACGGAGTTCCAATTTCCTGGTCAAACCAAGTGAAATATCTTGGATTAGTTCTTAACCAAAAATTAACTTTTAAAGATCACATTGAGAGCATTCAAGCCAAATGTAACAAATATATAAAATGTTTGTATCGTCTTATAAACAGAAAATCCAAACTTTGCCTGACGAATAAACTTCTAATATTTAAACAAGTTTTTAGACCGGCCATGCTTTACGCTGTGCCAATATGGTCTAGTTGTTGCACTACCAGGAAAAAAGCACTTTAAAGGATTCAGAACAAAATTCTGAAGATGATTTTGAAGTTGCCTCCCTGGTACAGTACTACCGAAGTACATAGAATTTCGAATGTTGAGACTTTAGCACAAATGTCCAACAAAATAATTAATAATTTCCGGCAAAAATCGTTGCAATCCTCAATTGCAACGATTAATTCCCTTTATACATAGATAAGATTTAGTTTTAGTTTTTTAGTTTTAAGCTATCAATTGTTATACTGACATGCAGGTTTAAGATACCTGTTTAAAATACTGAATTGCCAAGACAGGAACACTATGTAAAAACACTTAGATATATATCATAACAATTAAGGCTGGTAAGTTACTGTAGTAACTGGAGCACTTAGGTTAAAAATGAAATGTAATTAATTTTAAATTTGGAACAAATAAAAAGTAAAAAAAAAAATAGAAAACTTGAGGGGTATTGTGCAAATTTTGAAGAAGTTCTAAGCACCTCAGAAAAGCTAGATCTAGAGCTCTTTGGGGAATTTCAGATCTTACTTTAGTTGAGACTTTAGAAGCAGTTTCAGTTGAGACTTCAGAAGCAGTTAGAAAAAAAAATCAGAATAGTTCCATGATGTGCTCAAAAAAAATTGAGAACCCTTAAGATTTTCCGAGAATTTCAGGAAGTACAAAGACCTTCAGAGAATTTATGAAAACTTCAGAAATAGTTCAGGAACTTCACAGAATTCCAGAGAATTTCAGGGAAATTTAAAGGTGTTTGCGGGAATTCCATTTATTTCCGAGCAGAACCGAGATCTTCAATAGAATTGAGAGCTTTAGGGAAACTTCGAACACATCAAGATAGTTCACAGAATCAAAGGGCAGTTCAAATAATTGCAAGTAAATTGTACAAACCTTAAAGAAGTTTCGAGAAACTCAGGAAATTTCCGGAAACAGCAAAGCTCCGAGAGAATTTCTGCAACGTGATAAAAAGTATATGAACATCCGGAAAACGTGAGAGTATTCTAAAGGTTTTATATCATGGATATTTCAAGAATCTGAACTAATGCGAAAATTAAGCTAAGTTGATTAAAGAACATCAACGAGGTTCCATTGAATAAAAAAATGCAAAAACTTTTAGCAAGAAGCGATATCTTCAAGACATTCCAGAGAACTTCTAATCAGTGCTGTAAATTCTCAAAATCAATTGAACATTTTTGATGAAAATGAGAAAAGTAGCTATCAGCTTCGAATGGGTGATATCAGTTGCTTAGTTATTTGACGAAGGCATGGATCATTCTGATTTGAGAAACGCTTGATATCATTCAATTGAGTGTAACCTACACATAAACGGAGCTCTGGTCGAAATTCCGGCGAAAAAGCTAAGCCAACCCGACACCAACCTGACTTCTACCAAACCCCAACCCGATGTTGACCCGACATATACCCAAAATTGACCCGAAAACAACACGACATTTGGTCGACATTGACTTTAAATTTGCCTTATATTGATCCGACATCGGGACGACTTGTCTATTCTGGATCATTTTGCTGGGTTTTTTTTCCATACTTAACTATCGTACATACATCAAATGATAGTGAGTGACTCAATTGACAGTAACGATGAGCTTCGAATGAGAAAGGGGCTCTTCAAATTATGGTCATGTGAGCATTCGTTTTCACAGAATTGATTGAATGGTTGTATTGGTTCATCTTCAATCGAATGATATGAAGAGTAACAGCACTTCTTCTAATAAATTTTAGATATTCTTAGATAGTTCATGATATTTTGCGAAGGCCAGCGCCGGTGGTAAGCGTGACTGCTTTCTCACCCCAATGAGTCTGGGTTCAACCCCAGCCGAGGTCGGTGGAATTTTTCTGAGGAATAAAAATCTCTGGTCACGTCTTCCTTCGGAATTGATGCGATATCCTACGCAGGAGTGGAAGCTGCCTTCCTGCACATTCGATTGCCGTCAAAGGATGGCAATCGATGTCTGTCGGTGATTAGCACTAGATTACCGAACATATTCACAACGAGTTTTCTTTAAGACGCAAAAGATCCAAATTGTACCAGCTGTTCGAATTTTTCAAAGAAACAAACTTTTGCTCTACTAGTTGATTGGTACACGTTTACAAGGCGTTATTAAGAACAGCTGTAGATTCATCTACATTACCGGCCGCGAATGGAAAATCCACGCTCCCCTCAACTAGATTAGAAACAGCTTGCTTCGAATATCCAGCACTTCAATTTTACAAAATTATCGTTATCGTTAACATGGTCTAAGACATTAATCACTAAGGTCTCAAGATCGGTTATTTTCAAATCAGTATCCGTAACTGAACAAATGGAATCAAAATTGTAATAAACGTGGTCAATTAAAGTTCTACTGTGCCTGCAAATACGCGTATACTCATTTACCGTTTGAATTATGGTTATCACACCATTTAATATTAAAATCACCAGCCAATATATTTCATTTACTAGAATCAAGGAATGTCTCGAACCAGTTCTCTAAAACTTCAACAAAACTAGAACTGGGAGAATAATACAAAACACCATCATTATCCATCTTTATGCCACAACTGTAATGCCCAAGAACCAGTTACCATCGATAACTTCATTGATACGAAGGTCGAATTGAACTGATTCTTTGACATAAATAGCAACACCGCCAGTGTTTCTAGAATGCGATAAACAAGCAGCAACAATATATCCCGGAATACTATACTGATCAAATGCTTTAGTTTCTACAATGTGAGTTTCAGATAATAAAACTAAAAGAGGACGTTTTTTCTCAACAGCCTGACGTAATGCTACGTAGTTTGTTGACAACCCCGCAATATTCAAATACAAAAAATCGAATTGATTCACATTCCTGGAACTTGGCTGCTATTTATTGAAACGCCAGCTGCTTTTCTTCTGATCAAAAAGTCTTTTATAGAGCAAACATCCAGAGCTAAATGCGGCATGCTGACGTCCAAGCTCCAAGAAACACTCCACTATAAAGCATAAATTAAGCCCGCCCACCAGCACCAAGATGCAAAAACTAGCCAAGGGGAGGGCTATGCAGTTCATTCATAATGATCAAAAAAAAAACCTCAGGCAAACTGAAAATAAAAACTGCTAATTCAAAACGTCACTCCAATTGAACAAACCACCTACCGTCGGTTCCACCAACCACTGATAAAAACCTAACCCACCCACGCACATGCGCTCATTCAACGCAGATGCTCTCTCGCGACCGTAGACAACATTCCCACGACGGCAGCATGTGATGTTTGTTATCCTAGACCTGCCCCGGTTGGTGGCGGAAAAAGCATCATAGGCCGAGGAGAAGGTGCATGCCAGGTGACGATTACTACAATACGGTTTACTCGCTCTCTCGCTCGGTCCAACTGGACACTCTCATCTCCGGTGCAGGATAACACAGAGAGCCTTTTTCGCTGCCAGAGAGCGATTCCTGTACAAGGAAAAATCGATACCACAATCACCAGAAATTTACTTTGTCAAAAACTTGCAACCCAGCCTAGAGCCTAGTCACTGCGCTACGAGTGTCCGCGAGCTTCCACGAATTTTGGCCACAATTCGATCCGTTTTCGACGCCTAAAAGCTGACTAGTTGTGTTCCGATTCGTAACCACCCCCGGAGGTTGTGTCGTCGAGTGTTTAGCGATTGAAATTCTGGTCGGAAAAATGCGAAGATAATCCCAAAAATTGGCACTGTTTTGTTTGCTCCTTCAACAGCACGCGCATACAAGCTAAGGCGTTTCCCCGTTTTTCGGTTTTTCCTCTAAAGAAAAAAATAAAATAAAGTGAAATGCGCTGAACATTGCATAAGCAAAGGAGCTAGGAATCACGATGAGGTTCAAACAGTTGCTGCTATCGCTAACAATAGCGGTTCAGTATTATTTTGGAATTGGTACGTTTATCCGCAGTTCTATTATCAGCAAATTTGCTCGGATGCTGGGTAGTGCAGAAAATCGATAACTCTCTTCGTGTTGGGTTCCTCTCACTTCAAACTTACAACCGCCCCAAACATCAATCATTCTATTGTGTTCTTCTTTCCGCACACGTCCAACAGCTAACGGGTCCGAAGATGAGGAACGCCTGGTACGAGATCTCTTCCGCGGGTACAACAAGCTAATCCGACCCGTCCAGAACATGACCCAGAAGGTGGACGTACGCTTCGGGTTGGCTTTCGTGCAGTTGATCAACGTTGTGAGTGTTCGATACGGTGTATGGGTAGCAAATCTGCTGAACAATTTTTAAATCGAAACTTGGAACACTTTCAGAACGAAAAGAATCAGATCATGAAGTCCAATGTGTGGTTACGATTGGTTTGGAGCGATTACCAGCTACAGTGGGACGAAGCCGACTACGGTGGAATCGGTGTTCTGCGTCTTCCTCCGGACAAGGTCTGGAAGCCGGATATTGTGCTGTTTAATAAGTAAGTTCCCGGTTGCACTTCAGTAAAGGAAATCTAAACATTTTGCCTTTTCCAGCGCCGACGGTAACTACGAGGTCCGTTACAAATCCAACGTGCTGATATACCCGAACGGTGAAGTCCTGTGGGTTCCACCGGCTATCTACCAGAGTTCCTGCACGATCGACGTCACGTACTTCCCGTTCGATCAGCAAACGTGCATCATGAAGTTCGGTTCGTGGACGTTCAACGGCGATCAGGTTTCACTCGCGCTCTACAACAATAAGAACTTTGTCGATCTGTCCGACTACTGGAAGTCCGGTACGTGGGACATCATCGAGGTTCCGGCCTATCTGAACGTATACGAAGGTAACCCAACCGAAACGGACATCACCTTCTACATTATCATCCGCCGGAAGACCCTGTTCTACACCGTCAACTTGATCCTGCCAACCGTACTGATTTCGTTCCTTTGCGTCCTGGTGTTCTACCTGCCAGCCGAAGCCGGCGAGAAAGTAACCCTAGGCATTAGTATTCTGCTGTCACTGGTTGTGTTCCTGTTGTTGGTATCGAAGATTTTACCACCGACCTCGCTCGTACTGCCACTGATTGCCAAATATCTGCTGTTCACCTTCATCATGAACACCGTATCCATCCTGGTGACGGTCATCATCATCAACTGGAACTTCCGAGGGCCTCGCACCCATCGGATGCCCATGTGGATTCGGTCGGTTTTCCTGCACTACCTGCCGGCCATGTTGCTCATGAAGCGCCCCCGGAAAACCCGCCTCCGGTGGATGATGGAGATGCCCGGCATGAGTATGCCTCCGCAGCCGCACACCCATCCCTCGTACGGTTCGCCGGCCGAAGTTCCGAAGCACATTAGCGCCCTCGGGGGCAAACAGTCCAAGATGGACGTGATGGAGCTGTCGGATTTGCATCACCCGAACTGTAAGATGAACCGCAAGATGAACAGCGGAGACATCGGGCTGGGAGTGGATTCGTGCCGCCGGGAGAGCGAGAGCTCCGATTCGATCCTGCTTTCGCCGGAGGCAAGCAAGGCTACCGAGGCGGTCGAGTTCATCGCGGAGCATTTGAGGAACGAGGATCTGTACATTCAGGTGAGTGGTGGGCCTGGGCGTGGACTTCGTTGGTGAACGGTTGTCCAAGGCCTGGACATGTAACATTGATTTGTATGGATTTGACAGTCGGATTATCGGATCAACCCCGCTAATCCGGCCCAGCGTTGCCAGACATACCGATTTAACGATATTTATACCAATTTTCGAATACCGAGCACCAAATAGCTCAAAAAATTGGTTTTAAAAGGTTTTAAATATTAGAAAAGTCTGCCTATAAAAATTGAAGATTTATCTACTTTTTGAGATTGCGGAGAGCTGCAAGGAAATAATTCCTTGGGAATCTAATTCTTAAAATGGTTCACAAAATTCTAAGCAAAATTTCAATAAATACTACTGTGCCGGTTTCCGGTAAATTCACCAAACAAGCTATCAGCCAGGCGACCTAAAACGAACAGGTCGAAGAGGGAAAATTAAAGGAGACATGACGTTTGAGACTGAAATAATTTAAAATTTAAAATGATGTGTACACTGAACGAATTTCGCTCCGATATTAACCGTTATTAATAACTTAGTATTATTTTTATGTGAAAATTTATGCAGATCAATGTATTGACATTACGTAAACGAAAATTGATAAAATTTTAATCTATCTTTGTAATATTAGTAATACTATATTTTTGAGTATACGTGTTGAGCATGTAGGCATGTAGCATGATCGATGATTTCAAAATTTCGGTACGTTTAGTGGCAGTGTGTAACTTGGTTTACTTTTTTTATTCATGGGCATAATCAAAGTGCAGCGTAATAATTGTTTACACAAGATACAATGATTAACATAAATTATACTGCACAAGCTATTTTAGCAACCTCAACCATAACACAGTAACCGCACCAGGGGTTGCTATTGAAGTGCGGGAAATAACAATCTGCCCCTCAGTGAACAGCGGGTTATCAAATTTGATAACGCGATAGCGACCAGCCCCAAGGGCGTAGCCAGGTTTCGAGCTAGGGAGGGGCGAAAAAAAATTAGTATGGAAAATTTGGCCGAATGCCATTTCACCGAACGCCATTTCACCGAAAGCCTTTGTGTTGATGAATTTAGGAGAGGGCAACTGACCCCCCCCCCCCTACCCCCCCTCTGGCTACGCCTATGACCATCCCTGCTATCTATGAAGTATTTGTTTTGTTTTTTTATTTGAACATTGTGATATATGAATGAATTTGGATCCGGGACATATAAGTGGACCCAAGGGAAAGCAAAACGTTCCTCGGGAAAACCCGAAAAATCCATAAATGTGGAATCCAGTATGTGCACTCTGTCTTTCGAAAAATCCGGAACATCCGTAAAGGTGGTCAATTCGTAGAAAAGATCCTAGAGCTCCGTAATTTTTTCAAATCACTTATGTTGATGCTACATTAATTGTTTTGGATCTGTGACGAGCATGCTCTCTGCTGGCAACAAAACGGTCTTTCAGGAGGTCCTGACCATGCGTAAAAGTGATCAATTCGTAAAAAAGATCCCAGAGCTCCACGATTAATTTGAAATCACTTGTTCTGAAGCTACACGTATGAATTAGGATCTAGGAATAGCATATGCAAACAGGTAGCGGAGTCAAGGGGTGTTCAACTCTGCACATCCCAATCTGTGCCGAGAGCTAGGTCAAGCGTTGTGCCAAACGTGCCGAAGTGTGTCAGTCAAAGTGACAGTCTCAGTACCCCATGAGTTTGGCAACCCTGCACTTATGACTTTTGATATTATATGTTAACATATCAAGTCAAGGACGGAAAAAAATGTGAAACTTAATTCTAAGATAATATTTATCGAGGTTGTCACCGGTCATGCGCTTCAAGGAAGTGGCACTCGAAGTTTAGCCCCTCCACGAGAATGAGAAGGGTCACTGATAGCAAAAGCTGTCCATCCAGGAGAATCATCATCATAATAGAAGACAGTTCTGTACCGTGCGGCATTCTGGCAGACGTTTGCCGAAACCAAATATCCAACCGGCAAGTGGAAGATGCATCTTGTCTGCATTATCATCATGCTACTCAGGCAATGCTACATCCTGAAAAACAGGAAGGACCTAAATGTCCACCGTCGGTAGTTGTAGTAGCAGCAATAGACCTGCAATAGCTTCCCAGTATCAGAAGTCGTGGTTAGGTACTAAATCCTGGCTTCCCATTTTTATGGTTTATGGTTTAGAACCTTTAAGCATCCTAATAAATAAACAGGCGACCCAGGACTCCACTGAGATTGGTCATTTACGGTAACAAATTAACTAGTACTGGTCTTCTTCTTTCCCATTATTCTCAAATTCTAACTTTGAATCCGATTATCCACATCTTCCATGGAATAATTTTCAACATTAACCGAATGTCGGTCCAGGATCTCGAAACTGGTTGCAGTCGTTTGATGACTACCTCCTTCTTGATCTGTTGTTCTTCCTTCATATTTTTTATCTTTGGTCATCGCATATTAATCTCCCTGAACCGCTGCCGATTGCGTTCAATAATACCGGCGTTTCAGATTGGCTCCGTTACCTCCGGTTTGGTTACCTTCACCATTCTGTTAGCAGCATCTTCCTTAATGTTGCTTTTGCCGCCGGTGATACGAACAGTTGCGAAAGAGCGTAGAGAGACTGCAAACTGGTAATACGGGATCCACTGACTCTACCAGCCTCCATATTTAATCAAATCCGAGTTCAGTCCATAGAATGAGCTGTACGGCTAACTACGAGAGAAACAGCTGCGATTGCAGATACATATATCTGAAGAATGGTAGGATCGTTCGGCACCGGGCAGTTGTTGACACAGTACATTAGTGCTGCAATACTCCTTACCCATACAATTGCCTCTCGGTCCAGATCCTATGCCCATCGAGTTAATACGTATTCTGGCCTATTTTGCGGGCGTGGTGACTCGTTTGAACTGCTCAAGCATGTCTCTTTAGCTCAGCTAGCCGGCGTTTCTAACTCTCTGATCATCTCTCCATTTTCGCTGCAGCTCCGAAAAAATTTGCGTCACTGCCCTGCTGACGACGCTCCACGTCCTCTCATCCCGGCACATTTCACTGACGACATTTCTTGCGCTAAGGGCCGGCATCTCCACTCGCACTGCCTCAAATCTTGGGCAGTCGAAAACCACGTGCTCCGGCGTTTCGTCCACGTTGCCACACTCCGGACAGAGGGGTGACGTTGTGTGTCCAAAGCGATGCAGGTACTTCTTGGAGCAGCCATGACCAGACAGAAGCTGCGTCAAATAGAAGTTGACTTCTCCATGCTTCCTGTTCACCCAGGTCGAAAGAATCGGTATTAGCCTGTGTGTCCATCTACTGTTCTCCGCTGCGTCCCACTCCTGTTGCCACTTAGCCATCGACTCCGTTCTCACCAATGCCCGTACTCCTCTGGTATCTCTTCGCATATAGCATTCAGTGTCCTCCGCCAAGGTGATGACGATGGGTATCATACCGGCGATAACGCATACTGCTTCCGTCGAAATTGTTCTGTACGCACTCACGACTCGCATGGCCATGAGGCGGAACGTACTGTTAAATTTTCTTTGGTTCTTCTTCGTTTTCAGTGCTGCATCCCAGGTTGGACCTCCATACCTCAGTATCGATGACGATACACTAGCCAGAAGACGCCTCTTGCTGCTGCTTGGTCCAGAGTTGTTCGGTATGATTCTAGCTTCTCACATGCGTAGTCGACGTGGCTATTGAAGCTTAGTCGGTCATCGAGTATCACTCCAAGATACTTCAGCACGCGCTTTGATGCTATGGCGTTCTCCCCGACGGTAATTTCTGCTCGCTGAACAGCTTTACAGTTACTGACCAATAGCACTTCCGTTTTGTGGTGGGCTATCTGCAGCTTCCCTCCTTGCATCCAGTTGGAAACCGTGTCGATCGCCTCGGTTTCCAGAATTTCCACCTCTTCCAACGTCTCGCCTACTACCGCCAACACGACGTCGTCCGCAAATCCTACGATCTCGACTCCTTTGGGCAGCTTCAGCGTTAGCACGCCGTTGTACATCGCGTTCCAGAGCGTTGGGCCAAGGATGGAGCCTTGTGGCACACCCGCCGTTATCCGAATTGATTTCTCTCCCATGTCCGTCTCGTAGACTAGAACCCGGTTCTGGAAGTAACTCCTTATAATGCTACACAGGGAATCAGGAACCCTCATTCCATGCAGTTCTTCGGCGATGGCCTCCCAGCTGGCACTGTTGAATGCGTTCTTCACGTCGATCGTTATCACGGCGCAATATCGATATCTTCTCCGCTTCTGATTAGACGCTTTCTCGGCACTCTCGACCACTGTCCGAATTGCATCCACCGTTGATCTCCCTTTCGGGAATCCGAACTGGCTCACCGACAATCCATGCTCACTCTCCGTGCATTTCTCGTTAGCTTGTTGAGGATGATCTTCTCCAATAGCTTTCCGACTGTATCCAGCAAGCATATAGGCCTATACGATGCTGGATCCTCCGGCGGTTTTCCGGGTTTCGGCAACAGCACTAGCTTCTGTATCTTCCATCGGTCCGGGAAGTGACCTTCATTCAGACACTTCTGCAGCACTATCCTGAACATGTCCGGGAACGCCTGGATCGCCGCCTTCAACGTCACGTTGGGGATTCCCTCCGGACCGGACCGCTTTCTTCGTCTTCAGCCCTTTCGCCACTGCTACGAGTTCCTCGTTGGAGACTTGTCTACCTTCGGTGTTGTCTGCCTCTGCCTCGCCGTATGGTGAAGTCCCTCCACGATGACGTTCAACGTTCTATATGGCCAGGTTCTCGAGATACAGTTTATATAGAAAGTTCACATGCACACTAGCGCTACGTAGTGAGAGAGTTCGTAACTAATATGGTCACCATCCGAAAGGACTTGGTCACTTGAACAACTTTGCTCAAGACAGTAACTTTCTATATGGCCAGGATCACGAAATATTCTATGTTGGACCTATGATCCATATATTATAGCACCCGTCATAAGTAACATAAAAGTGAAGTGCCTCTAGCGGCGTAGTTCCCAATTAAACCTGAATCCAATGACACAGGCTTGTTGGTCTAACCTAGTACAACAACTTTGTCGAAAACAGTATAGCTCTATATATTGAAACAAATGAGATAATCCACCACAGCCCCTATTAGTGAAAATCCCATAAGCTGTGGGTATCCTTATTCGCGGTTCCTTATTCACGCCCCTGTTACCCCGGCAATAAGGATTCCTGACTGTATGCATTGAGTGGCCATTCAATTCTTACCTAAGTCCATTTAGCCTCCCCCCTCCCCTCCACACCATCAATGTAAGAATGTCTTTCCTTATATGACACTTACGAAAAGTTTGAAATTCCAGCTCCCCCCGCCCCCCTAAATGGGCTCGTATATATTGAATGATTTCTAAAACATAAATCTTGCATTATCAAACAGCATTTAAAGATATTATGTTAAAAAAATTAAGCGAAAAAAATGTCCCGATTTTGTCAGTGTCCCGTTTTTTCAGCCCTAAATTCATCAGGGGGCTGACAAAATCGGGACATTACTGTACTACACTGCACAGCAAAAAAAATGTAATATCGATCAATGTAATTCAAGCTGATGTATGAAATAATGATGTAATAGCAAAAATCAGATACAATATTGCAGCAATCGATGTAATTTTGTTCGCAAAATCCATGTACATCGTACAACGTTATATCATAGAGGTAACTCTAAGACTAGAAGGTCCCGAAATAACGTGCTCAACTTTTTGGCTCAGCTCTGGTACTATCTTCGGTCCCAAGCTAATCGATGCACCCTTCGAAACATAGGAAAATCCACGAGCCCCTTATTTTATCTGTCAAACTTTCATAGCGAATCAAAACAAACATAGTGTAATACTAGAATTTCGACTAGAATGGGGTTCGTTAATCGATTTGCTTGGGACCAATAGGCTAGTCAAGTAGTGAGCCAAATTCAAAGCGATAGTTTCTTATGGATTGTTGGTTATGCTTAGGAGCTAATGCAATGTTCAGCTTGAATATTATCTGAAATTTGTTCAATGCAGTGTTGTAACCTGTAACATACACTTAGAAATAAATAATTTTACACGTGACGGAATCCGTCTTTGACATATAAGATGAGACGTAAACAAACATGTCATGTAAAATAAAGTGTTCCGAGACTGAAAAGTTCGTTGCTCGACGAAAAGTACGTTTGATTGAGCAATATTTCGCGTCTGTTATGACTCAAATTTATGTCAAAATTGACGCTTGTATACGTCACTCTCAGACCACCTAACTTTACATGTTTGTATTTTGCTAAGTGTGCAGGTTGTATTGGCTATCAAAGGCAACAGCGAACGCACCGAGATGTGTTAAAGGGCGAACACGAAATTATTGCGACACCGAAAATGTCATGCCAATTTTCTTATAATGTTTAGAATCAACCCAAAATTTTAGGGTAGTTTTATATATATATTTACTTCAAAAATCAAAAGAAAAGTTAATTGATGGAGCCTTGAGTGTAAAATTGAACGCATTTTCGCTTGATGCCCTCCATCAAAGTCTTTACAGTGTCATCCGGTACCAGTTTCTCAGTTTTTTTTCCATTTTCTTAACATGTCCTTCTCGTCTTTGACTGTCTTCTTGCTCTTCCGAAGTTTCCGCTTCATTATTGCCCAGTACTGCTCCACCGGGCGCAGCTCCGGACAGTTTGGCGGATTCATGTCCTTTGGAACAAAATGGACAGAATTGGCCTCATACCACTCCAGGACACTTTTAGAATAGTGGCATGATGCCAAATCTGGCCAAAATAGCGGAGCTTCGTCGTACTGCTGCAAGAACGGCAAAAGGCGCTTCTCGAGGCACTCAGATTTGTAGATCTCGCCATTTACTGTGCCCTTTGTCACGAAAGGCTCACTCCTCAGTCCGCAAGAGCAGATGGCCTGTCAAATGAGATATTTGGAGGCGAACTTCGACATTTTCTTCTTCTTAAATTTGTCGTCCACATCGAACTTGCTCTTGCCGGTGAAAAACTCCAACCCCGGAATTTGCTTAAAATCGGCTTTTATATACGTTTCGTCGTCCATCACACAGCAGCCATATTTTGTCAGCATCTTCTCGTAGAGCTTCCGTGCCCGAGTTTTAGCCGTCGATTGTTGCCGCTCATCGCGGTTTGGGAAGTTCTGTACCTTGTATGTATGTAGTCCAGCTCTCTTCTTTGCATTCTGGACGTAGCTCTGCGACATGCCGATCTTTTTAGCCAAATCACGGCTTGAGACGTTGGGATTTGCTTTAATCATCCGCTTCACCTTTCCCTCCGTCTTTTTGTTCTCCGGTCCCGGTTTTCTTTCAGCTCCTTTGCCGTGGTCCAACGTCAACCGCTCCTGGAACCGCTTCAACACTCTGGAGACGGTTGAATGGTGAATGTTCAACATTTTTCCCAACTGCCGGTGCGACAGGTCAGGAAATTCCAGGTGTTTGGAAAGAATTTGTTCTCTCAACTCGCGTTGGTTCACCTCCATTTTCATTGAATCGACACGACTTCGAGTTTGACAGCATGTACACAATACACATCAATGAGAAAGTGTGCAAAATTTGGTTGATTTTTACCCAATAATAAAAAAGTTATGCCCTGTTGAATGTGTCGCAATAATTTCGTGTTCGTCCCTTTAGTTTACGTGAGTTATTAACAAAAGAGAGAATCGATCATCGCGGTTACGCCCTTATGCATGCTCACTGTGGAATTTGAAATCTGTGATAGATATGGAAGTCAGTTTTTTCCCACCACAGAAACGCCCGTGTTCTTATGCCAAATGATGCATGTGCGTCGAAAAAACGCGAACAAAATCTTTAAAAACAATAAAATATTATTTATTTATTTTTTGCTTGCTGGATCGGTAGATAAAAGATGTACCAAGAACTTATTGGAGGGATTTATGGCTAATCTAGATATTTCCGATCAACTACGAAATGTTGCATTGCATAACATTGGTGCAAAATTGTGCACTCCGTTTTTGTGTGTGCATTTTTTCTTAGCGTTTTGAAGTTGAATCGCTGTGGAAACCTTATTTCTGATCAATCTCATTACCACATAAAGAGCACAAATATCACCTCTCACAAAACTTATAGCAAAGAAACTGGAACTTCACATGAGTGATGTCACAACCGTCCAAGATTTGTGCCCTAGAAATCTTGAAGTGATGCCCTGAAGAAAGCCTTACTCATATCTGATGGTCATTTTTATGAGGTCCTCCTAACCAAGTTTTACCAATGGTTTTACTAAGTAGGAAATCCAAAATATGTACATAGGACCGAAATCATATACGGCTAGAAATCCCCTTATAACTTTTGGCAAATTTCTGTTGCTGATTATTCATAAAAATGTGTAAGTCAACTAATAAGCAGACACTTTGCAAAAAAAGTTAATGGAGATCATGTGTCAAATGAACTGTATAAATGGTCACACATAACGTTTATGCATTCTTATAGGACCTATGTGGTTTGTATTATGGAATGTGTATAGCTGATGTTTTGACAAAAATGTATAAGTGAAACACATGAATAAAATTATTAATTTTCGTTTCGTGTACGTTACTTCAACTGTATTTAAAATCAATATCTAGAAAAAATGCACGAAAATTTCACTACACAGCTTAACGTAGTCTACGTCAACCATGCGGTCGTGTCTTGTACACAACCCCGCCAATTTTTTTTGAGTATTTTTCGTCAGAGCTTTCCTAGTTGCCAGACCAAGACGTGCTCCGATCAGCATTCTTTCACACCAGTGCAAGTCGATGCCGACCGGATGACGGTGGCCCAGTCATGCTGCCTATTGCGGGAAGCCTTACCTTCAGTCGATGTGGGTACATTCGCTGTCTTCTTCGTATTGGTACGATGCGTGCTGTTCAACTCACACGACGTGTCCAGCATCCGTTGCTTGAAAGTAAATGACGAAGAAAACGATTTGACAAGCGTTTCTATTACCGCTGCTTTTCTCCTCCCTTCCTTTGATTGGTGAAATGGTGAGTGGTCAACCGAGCGGTAAGCTCGCTCATGTGAGCATGCGCAATGTGTCGTGCGTTCGATTTATACTCTATCGTTACGTCCGTGTTTGGAATTAAAGACGTAGTCCAACGTAACAAAAATTCAAAGAAAGGGGCTGGCAAAATCGGGTCATCACTGTATTACGGATATTCTTAATATTCCGGAGCCCAGCAGAGTGCGCATTTTAAGAATATTCCAGATCTCGGACGACCGTTTCTTGGCTAGCAGAGTGCATCACATACTGGCCTCAAATCCAAATTCATTTCTATAAGTTCACAACAAGCGAGTTAAAACAATAGAATATTTTTTACGAATTGACCACTTTTACGGATGATCTGGATCTCATATTCATGATAATCACGAAGCTCTGCGATCAGTTTTAGCTCGAAGTTCGACGATAGATTTAGCAACTACCGGTGCAAAAGTTAAAAACATAAATTAACAATCGTGATAGCAACGATCGGTGCGAAACCTGGTTGCTAACTTAAATAGCAACGGCTTAAGTTTTCAAACTAGCAGCCCGAATAGCGACGCACCGGTGCAACTATATTGGGTTGTTCCGATATATTACGATGGACCCCCGCAACTATATTAAGTTGCCCCGAAATATTTCTAAATTGGTAGGAGTCATAGGGTTGAGTATGGTTTCGGCTCTACTTTATACCTATTGTCGTCGGTAAACGAATTCCTTGGAGGTTGATTTTTTTTGCATGAAGGTGCATCATGTTCCAGAGCATGGTTGTGTCAAAAATTAACACTTTATTTACCCCCTGGCGATAATAGGTAAAGTTATTGCCGTAGTCGTGATTGTTATACCATTAAGATAAAAAAACATTACTAATCCGCAATTTTCATTTCAAATCCTAACAGACCCGCGAGGACTGGAAGTACGTGGCCATGGTGATCGATCGGCTGCAGCTGTACATCTTCTTCATCGTAACCACTGCCGGCACGGTTGGAATTCTGATGGACGCCCCGCACATCTTCGAGTACGTCGACCAGGACCGTATCATCGAAATCTACCGGGGCAAGTAAACACACGCTTATAGGAAAAGACACAGATTTAAGACGTCGTCGTTGTTGGAATGTTAGGTTAACATTTGCTCAAAAACAAAAAAAAAATGGGTCACTTTTTTACGTACGTATTTAGAGAGAGAGATTCGATGCGGGACACCGCGCGAAAGGTGGTGTAAGCAGGATTTTAAATGTAATCGTTGATAGAGAAATTCCCCCCTCCCCCCGTTACATTGAGTCTTGATTGTTTGAAAGCAACAGAAATATATAGCGATAGCGCGCGAGTTGGGGAAGCTATCCACTGTTCGCTGCCGTTTTCCCCGACAAACAACAGCGTAGTTAAATGTATTTAGGAAAAATGTTTTCGCTTAAGTTTCCATGTTGAGTTTATTACGGTTCTAGGCTCAAGATTAGCAAATGATTGAAATAGCTTACATTGTCAGTCAGTTTATGGATGCCAAATTTTGTTCTAGACAGACGGGATGGAGAATTTTTGAGCTCACTTTTGAACTAGGAATTTTTTGATAAACCAATTTCCGTTATCTTGTAAACGAAAGCAGTAAAATATGATACAAACTAAACTAACCATTTGAAATATATCGCAAAGCAAACACTTTTCTCCGAGGTGAAATAAAAACAATCCCAAAAAAATAAAGATTTTGCACAATCGAAACAAAGTCGAAGTAAAGAATAGCAAACAAAATACTGCAACGAGAAGAAAAAGCTTTCTGAGAAAAATAGCATTACATACACACTCGCAAACACACATACACTTACACAAACACAAACACTCAAAGCATAATGAGAAAAACAAGAACATCAACAATAATTAGGATACAAAACCGAAGAAGAAAACAAGTGTTGATTCGACAAAGAAAGCCACTAATCGAAAGAAATAGAAAATCTTTAACCAAATTATGCAACAAGAAAATCACACTACACAACAAACAAAGCTAACAAAATTGTAAACAAATAATCAGCAAAAACAGCCAGAAGAAGAAGACGAAAATAAGGCGATATTAACAGATACAATTAACTAAACTAAAGACAAACAGTAAACGATTTTTGTGCACAAAACAAGCTAACAATTACCAGTAAGAAGAGTACAGCAGAAAGTAAACAACCAAAACAAAAAAAAAAACAATATTGACATTAACATTAAACGTTGTATTGGTAAGCATTTTTAAGAAAACGAAAACAACAAAAGGGTATAATAATAAACTTAAAAAAATAGTTCGTATTAAATTTGAGGAGCGAGTTTAGTCAATGATCCGAACTGCTAAATCCTCATAATCCAAGATAATGTTCTTCAAATCCAAGTCATTCAGGAACGAATTAGAACTCTAATCACTTCTTCCTTAATTGACTGTCAGCATACGTTTCAATTGCTTATTATAACTACCACTTACCTCCCTAGGGAAACTTTCGGATCAATAAACAGCCCACAACCACATTGATTGATTCTATAGCAAACATGTTTAGATTAACCACTTAACAATATAATAGTTGCGCTTACCTACACGCAGCAACGAAATGCCATTCTTCAAAATATGAACACCGGGCGCTAGCACCTCAGCCGGATTCTTCGCCTTGTTCAGATTAACCGTGAAGCCACCGGCACCGATGATCCTCACCGCATCCTCTGTCAAAACAAAAACAAAACGCTTCAGATTACCATCCCCCAACATCATCATCAATCACCACCCTACTTACTTTCGGTCGGAAAACACTTGGCCCGCATGGCGACGTGCAACACGGTCAGACCCGGTTCCGGCAGAATCTCCACCACCGGTGCTCCTCCGAACGTCTGCCGGATATCCTTCACCTCCAGCTCCCCCAGTGCCTCAACATTCCCGCTATACAACGCACTGGTAATATCCTCTGCCTTCTTCAGCCCAGCCTTCCCATGCACCAGCAATGTTAACTCCTGTGCCAGCCGCTTCTGCGCTTCCCACAGCTCCGGCATTCGCTGATGTTTCGCCATCACACTTCGAATCTCATCCAGCGGCAAGAAAGTCAACAACTTCAGCAGCTTCTCCACCTCCGCGTCCGGAGTCCTCACGAAAAACTGATACAACGCATACGGCGAGGTTTTATCGCCGGACAACCACACCGCATTCCCCGCCGACTTGCCAAACTTGTCCCCTTCCTCGTTCGTTATCAGCGGCAGCGTTATCCCGTAGACGTCCTTTCGCTCAACCCTGGAGATCAACTCGTGCCCGGACATGATGTTCCCCATTTGATCACTTCCACCGAGCTGAAACCGGCAAGTGTGCTCCTTCAGCAAATGCAACCAATCGTACGCCTGGAAGATCTGGTAGGTAAACTCCGTAAAACTCATCCCACCCTCACTCTGCAGCCGACTTTGCACCGACGCCCGCGAAAGCATCGATCCCATCCGAAAATGCCTTCCAACGCTGGAAATGAACTGCACAAAGTTCAACTCCCGATACCAGTCGGCGTTGTTCACTACCGTCACCGGTCTGAGCGCACCGCTGTGGCCACGCTTCTCCCACAGAAATTGCTGGTGATTTTCGAAAATTTGACCAATTTGCGAACCTATGCAGGCGAGATTGTGCTTCACCATATCCAACAGCATGGCTTGCCGTTCGGTGTTCCGCCCGCTGGGATCACCGATCTGTCCGGTGGCACCCCCTAGCAAGGCAATCGGCTGATGTCCGGCCCGTTGAGCGTGCAGCAGACCGATGATGACGAGCAGATTTCCAACGTGTAGACTGTCCGCCGTCGGATCGAACCCGGCGTAGATGGTCTGCGGGGAGGAACCCAGCATGCTGCGGGCTTTGTCGCTGTGGAAATCCGAAGGCAATCGTTAGTAGTGGAAGGCAGAAATCTGCGAATGTTCATTAGGGGTTTTACTGCATGGCCAAATCGCGGTTCGAGATGTTTGGGTTAGAGTTAATGGTCTTGATGACATTATTCCGCAGTTGACGGGTGACAGTACCCGCCCGACACTTGCTTTGAGGCTTGTCGAAATGATTCACCTTTCCATATAATATTAATAAATTTAATAATGAAGAGTTGGATCAAAGGAGCAGTTGATTTCTGTAGTTAAGAACTTGTTTACCCGTTATCAATAACTGAAAACTTTATGTAGTATTAAACCAGACTTCCTACGGAACACACTTCTTTCTCTAGAGGTTATGGGCCCAGTTACGTCGGACCTCTGAAGTTGAAGCTAATTGATTTGAAGAATCCAGAAGTTCGTTACGGAATTACGGAGAAGACGGGAGTGAAGATGTCAAGCTTGAGCTTGAGCTTGAGCTTGAGCTTGAGCTTGAGCTTGATTGACCGCCCACGGTTGCTACTCTGTTACTGCCAGATCAGCTGTAATTACACAGAGAACCAATAGACGATGCTTGGGACTAGCAATCATCCTCAATATGTAAAAACTGGTGATCTTAAATTAGGCAACACCAGCGCCGGCCGCGCTTGAACACAGGTCAAGAAAGGCACGGGAAGGATTGTGTTGACATGACGCTCGCTTTGATGGAAGCCGAGAACACCTCTGCACTTCCACGAGGAATCACTGGGATGTTGGATAAGAGGGTTGGGTTTGCAGCAGGGTTCGTTTTGATAAACGATAAGCTGAATTGATGTCCTAACGATCATATAACGCGAAGGAGCTTGGGACTAAACCCGCGGTCTTCTGCTCAGTAAGCAAAAACGTTTGCCACTAGGCAAACGAGCACCTTTTTAATCACCGAGTTGATGTTATTACCATGTAGTCATATTAACAAATAAAACGATTGACGAATCTTGAATGTGGATGGGCCTGAGATTAGACTCATGATGTTCTGCTCAGTAAGCAAAAACGGTTGCTCTAAAGCCACCGAGCCCCTCATATCACATAATACCGTTGCTCAAATTTGTGTATACATTCAAACCCGGAACCAACGACAACAACGAGTTTCGCAAAATACACGATACACAAGCGATTTTACCATAAATCTCTTTGATATGTAAGGACCTGGGACCGCGTTTTTCTGCTCAGTAAGCAGGCCACTATAACCGACGATCTTTCAAATTCGAAAACTAAAAACTACGAAAAAGTACTTAGGCCTTCATTAAGTTCCACTTTCACGCGACGTTCAATGACAGCGTCCTATCCAGGATTACATCTGAAAAATCAAAAATCTGGCCAACGCAGACCCTAAACCTAAACCTGTTCTAATCCACCTGAAATGACTAACGAATGGAAGACTTTGACTACCCAGCCATGCAATAGTCTCATTCCGTGCCTTATGGCAACTTGATGATTCTATTGCGCTCATCTTTTGGCACCACCCAGGGGAGTCGGGAGTGAAGATGTCAAGCGCGGCGAAAGTAGGAATAGTCCAGTTTGCTGGTGAAGGATACGACGTGTGGAGGTTCCGGGTCGAAACGCAGTTGTCGGCTCACGGCGTGAAGGAAATGATCACGAAGGATGTACCAGCTGACGAAGCGCAGAGGAAAGCTTTTCAAGAAAAAGACGAAAAGGCGAAGGCTTTTCTAGTTGCGTACATCGCGGATTCTCATCTGGAGTACGTGAGTGACAAGAACACTGCGAAGGAAATGTGGAACTCCCTGGCAAGCACGTTCGCGAAGAAGGGTTTTGCAGCGCAAACATACATTCGGAGGGCTACTGTCACGGAGTTAGATGCCGTAAGTCAACTGTTCATTTCTCTGCCATCGACGTACGATGTTGTCACCACGGCTATGGAAAACCTGGGAGATGATCAGTTGAAGTTGGACACTGTGAAGGCGCGTTTGCTGGCCGAAGAGCAGAAACGAATGGGAAGAGGAGACAATTCATGTGCCAATGGTGTCTCGGATGGATAAGGATCAGCGTTTGCAGCGAAGTCGGAAAGAAGCAAGGAAAAGTCCAGGTTTCAAGGAAAATGCTTTGTGTGTGGTGAACAAGGGCACAAGAAGGTTGCATGTCCAAAGTTCAAAAAGCGGTATGATCGAGCTCAAGTAGCAACTGTTCCCGTAGACAGAGAAGTGGCGTTGATGATTTCATGGCCATGGCCAATGATGAGCGGTATTTTCACGAGTTCGACAGACCGCTGGTAATTGAAAGTGCCAAGCAAGGTGAGAAACTTATTGCTACTAAAGAAGGCACAGTGAAAGCGAAGACGTTCATGGGTGAGAACAGTCTGACATTGTCCTTGGGAAACGTCTTATTTGTGAAGAACCTCAAGTTCAATTTGCTGTCATTGTCGCGGTTGCTGAAAGCAGGAGTCCAAGTGGAATTCCAGCCGGATCGAGCAGTGTTGTCGAAAAACGGTGAAACAATAGCTGTGGCGGAACTACGCGGGAATCTATTCTACCTGACGATGCAGCGTTATGCATCAGATTCGGCCATCCATCACCGAAAGGTGATGGTGATGAGTTGCAGCTATGGCACAAACGGTTTGGTCACTTAAGCTTCAAGAATGTACGACGCCTGAAGCAGAGCGAAATGGTAGATGGAATCGGGGAAATTAAAAATGAAGGTGGATTTTGCGAGTCCTGTGCAGAGAGTCGACCGAGCACAACAAGACCATCGGAGCGTGTTCATACGGATGTTTGCGGCCAGATAACCAAGTGTTTGATTTCTTCAAAGTATACGAGGCCATGGCAACGGCATAGTTCGGGAACAAGATCGCAAACTTGAGGTGTGACCTGGGAAGAGAATACTTTTCGAATGATCAGCTTGCGTACTATATGAAACAAGGAATTCAAGTTGAATCAACCGTTGGTTATACACCACAGCATAACGGAGTAGCAGAGAGGTTCAACCGGACCATGAGGACTATGCTAGCTGAATCCGGAGCACCGAAATCTATGTGGAGCGAAGCAGTATTGAATGCAGTGTACACAACAAACCGAAGTCCAACTGAAGCGTTGAAACAAAACTGTACTCCGGCTGAATGTTGGCACGGTGAGAAACTGAGAGTGTTCGGATGCCAGTCATTTGCATGGGTTGCGAAACAAAAGAGGAGCAAGTTGGACCCAACCGGTTTGCGCAGTGTGATGCTGGGCTACGCACCGACCGGTTATTGTCTGTGGAATCCAAAAACGAGGAAAATGTTCGTGGCACGAGATGTGAAATTCGACGAGACAAGTTTTCCGTTCAAGACACCAGAGAAATCGCTGGAGGAAGAAGTAGCTTCGAAGATGGTGATTCCTGAAGTTATTCCAGCCGTTGAAGAGATCAATACAGATGACGGGCAGCCAACGAATGAATTTGAAGATGACCATCAAGAGCTGTCCGAAGATGAGTTTGAACATGTTGACGAAGTTGCTGACAACACTAATGAAGAAGGCGCATCGGCGCTCCCACAACACTCGAAGAATGGGAACAACTGTGAGAAGTGTGTTCCGAGGTCTAGTGGTCGGGAGCGCAGGACCCCAGGTTGGTTAGCTGATTTTATTGCCCCCTATAAAGCCCTTTCTGCTGCTGATGAATCCCAACAGGTTCCGACATGTTACGATGAGGTTGACGGTCATCCACACGAGACGGAATGGAGGCAAGCAATAGCTGACGAGCTAAGGTCTTTGAAGAAAAACCAAACCTGGACGATGATGAGGTTGCAGTGAAGCCCGTGCCGAGTAAATGGGTGTTCACGTTGAAGACCGATGCTGACGGGAATCCTGTGTGCTACAAGGCCCGCCTGGTTGCCAAAGGGTACATGCAGCGGAAGCACGTGGACTATGAAGAGACGTTTGCTCCAGTGGCAAAGCTTTCAACTATACGGACGATTCTGGCGATTGCGACGAACCGAAACCTGAAGATCCATCAAATGGACGTAACAACGGCGTTCCTAAACGGTGTTCTCCAGGAAAAAGTGTGCATGCGTGTTCCAGAGGGGGTAAGCAGTCAACCGAATGAAGCATGCTTGTTGAAGAAATCGCTATACGGTCTCAAGCAATCACCTCGCTGTTGAAACGGTTGCTTTAATGAAGTTCTGGTGAGCATGGGATTTCGTCGTTCCCGACACGACTGCTGCATACGCATGTGCGTGGACAAGGAAATCAAATCGCCTACATCGTTATCTATGTGGACGATTTGCTCGTGGTTGCGGGCGATCTGCGCATTATTGAGGAGATTAAAGATCGAGTGAAACGAGAATTTGAAATGACGGATTTGAACGAACTACATCACTTTTTGGGCATTGAAGTGTTCTTCTCAAAGAATAAAGAAAGTTTGAGTGCTTCTAACTATACGTTTATTCAGGTTGACATCTACACTTCGAATGACTAATTTTTCCATCTCGGTCGCAGCTGTAGGTTGCTGCGATTACTTGAATGGAACATCGTGATTACTTGGATGGAACATCTTCCCTCTTAATTCATCCAGTACTCCTCGAATCTAGCTGGTAAACGAGTCTGCCGGCGTTCCCTTGTTGCTGGCGGAACTGGTACTGGATCTTGCTGTGGTGGATTGTCTGCCTCACTATCATCCGAAAAATTCTCCGCCTCATCACTTCCAAGCTCTTCATCAACTGGACCAAGTTCGTCGGGCACTGCAGCATGGTACGTCTAGGCCAAAACCGTCGAAGAATACCGATAACAGACTAGGACCTTGGCTTGGACTAGGATCTGGACCAGATTCGACCGCACGTTGCTTTGGTTGATTGGCATGAGAACGGATGAGCCGCTGATTATCCTCCAGGAAAACGATGTAGTTGACTTTTCCGACACGCTCGATTACTGTGGCAGCCTGTCATTTCCAGGAATTTGGTTGATGGACTTGAGCATATACAGCATCACCCTGAACGAACTGCCTCGAAATCGCTCCATGCTTCTTGTTGAAACGCTTGTTTTGCTCATCTGCTTTCGGTTGTGCTGCTGATGTACGGTTGTGTTGCGGTGGTAGCATTGACGAAACTGTGCGGACCGGTCGTCCGAACATTATTTCTGCAGGAGACTTTTCACCTAGGTCAGCCGTTGGTGTTGACCTGTAAACTTGCAAAAACGTCTGCAATGCTTCCTCCAGTGTGTCTCCTCCCGATCGAATCTTCCGAAGAGTGCGCTTCAAGGTGTCCACGAACCGTTTTGCTAACCCATTTGATTGAGGATGGAATGGTGCTGTGCGGACGTGGTGAATGCCTTGATTCTCACAGAAATTCTTGAACTCGTAGCTGGTGAACTGGGACGATGGTTTCTGGCACGCCAAATGTTGCGAACGTTTGAGTAAGTAGCTTGATTGTTGTTCTTGTCGTTGTGGTTTTAGTTGCGTATACTTCGGGCCATTTGGTGTACGGGTCGACAACTACCAGGAAAAATACGCCGTCCACAGGTCCTGCGTAGTCAATATGGATGCGTGACCACGGCTTATCAGGGATGGGCCACGATTCAAGCGTTGTTTTGACTGGTGCTTTTCCAGCAGTGCATTGTACATTGCCGGACGAAATTCTCGATGTCGTTGTCGATTCCGGGCCAGTAAACGAAACTGCGTGCAATAGACTTCATTCGTACCATGCCGGGATGTCCGCGATGAAACTGCTTCAGGATTTGCCTTCTGAACTTGCTCGGAACGACTACCCTGTCGTGGAACAGTATACAGCCATCGACGTTGGTGAGAGACTCCCGCCTGTTGAAGTAGACTCGAATCTCTGGATCTTCGACTGATCGTGCATCGTTTGGCCAACCCTCACGAATGAACTGCAGCACCGCTTGTAGTGATTCATCTTTTGATGTCTGCGAACGAAACTGGTACCTGCTCGATAGTGTTTTGAATAATGCTCACCATGTCTTTTTCTAGGGATATCGCTGCCATAACGTACTTCTCTTCTTGTTGCTTAGAACGGTCGATGAGTCTTGACGGCATATCGGCGCATATGAAGTCGTTGGTAGGCATGTGCCGAATGTCGAAGTCGTAGTTGAGAAGCATCAATGCCCATCGTTGAAGTCGATTTGGGTGTGCAAAGGAATGCCCTTCGTCGATCCAAAGATTGATAACAGCGGTTTGTGATCCGTGAGCAGAGTGAATCTGCGCCCAAGGAGGTACTTGTGAAACTTCGTTACCGCATATGTTAGTGCAAGTGCTTCTTTTTCCGGCTGCCCGTAACCTTTCTCCGCTGGAGTGAGGGATCTTGATGCGTGCTGGATTGCCTTCAGATGTCCATTCGAAAATTCATGGAAGATGACTGCACCGATGCCCGTGCTGGAGGTGTCCGCTGCTACGATGATTGGTAACTTCGGGTCGTAATGCGTCAGCAATATATCGGACTGCAGGACTTGCTTGAATTGCTCAAAAGACCGTTGGCAATCGGAATTCCACTGCCACTTCGAATCCTTCTTGAGTAATTGGTCGAGGATGACGAAGTTCATGGATGTTGCGCACGAATCTGCTGTAGAAATTAATGGCTCCCAGAAACGATCGCACTTCAGAAGCATTGGTGGGTGCCGGAATAGAGGCGATGGCTTGAAGCTTCTCTGGATCCGGACGGATGCCGTTTCGATCAACGATATGCCCCAAATATCTGATTTCGGTTTGGAAGAAATGGCACTTTTCCAGCTTGACATGGAACCCATTTTCCCCTAGACGTTGTAGTAGCTTGTCTAGTGACGCCTTGTGTTCCTCCCAGGTTCTTCCGAAGATGATAGCGTCGTCGAGAAACGACCGAACACCAGGAATGTCGGCTATCATGCTGTCAACCAGTCTTTGGAATGTTCCAGGCGCTGACTTCACCCCTGTAGCGAGCCGGTTGAATTGGAAGAGGCCTCGATTCGTGTTTATGGTGAGGAGCTTCTTCAATTCTTCATCTACTTCCACTTGCAGGTATGCATCGGAAAGGTCGCTGATGCTGTATATGGTGCTTTCGTTGAGCTGTGCGAAGATCTCCTCCGGGGTAGGTAGAGCATAGTGGTTTGCTTCAAGCGCTTCATTGAGTCCCGTGGAGTAGTTCGCACAGATGGGGACTTTACCATTCGGCTTGCGTACTGCTACAATCGGAGCGGCCCAATCTGAGAAATCGATCGGCGTGATGATTCCCAGAGACGGAAGACGTGTTAATTCTGCATCCACCAGCGGAATCGTGTTGAACGGAACTGGTAGCTTCGAACAGAAAACTGGTTTGGCGTTAGGTTTGAGGAATAACTTTACCTTGGTTTTCTTGCAATGGCCCAGCGAGTCGTCGAAAACCGCCGGATGCTCGGCTTGCAGCTGTACTCTAGCTTTGGCGAAACATGGTCTGGATACAGCAGAAACTTGATTGCAGAGAGTATTGAACGGAACCGACCACAGGTTGAACATGTCGATCCAATCAATACCCATTACGTTGAGATCTGGTGATGACGTTACGAAACACTGACCACGCTTGACCATGTCATTGAGGACTGCTTCACAATGGAATTCTCCGATGAGAGCGAAACTAAGTTGCAACTTCAAAAGACCACTGAAGGATGTCCGTATCGAGAACTGGTTGGCAGTATTATGTTCCTGATGCTGGGCTCAAGACCAGACCTGTGCTACGTTGTGGACTATCTGGCAAGATTCCAAGATGTTGCAGGAGAGGAACACTGGAAGCATGCCAAACGAGTACTGCGTTATCTTCAAGCGACAAAAGACCTAAGGCTGATCTTTAAGAGGAACCCGCAAGAACGACCGGTTGCTGTGTTAGTTGATGCTGACTATGCAAGCGACGAGGAGGATCGTAAGCGTGTTTCTGGATTCCTGATTAAGGTATTTGGATGTACTGTCGTGTGGTCGTCCAAGAAACAGCGCACGGTAGCAATGTCATCCACAGAAGCTGAGTACATCGCATTGAGCTCATCTGTTAGCGAAACGATTTGTGTGAATCAAACTTGCATCCTGTACCAATCTACGAGGACAACCAAGGCGCTATAGCTATGGCAGAGAAGGAGGAGACGAAACGTGTCAAGCATATAGATGTCAAGTCTCATTTTATTCGAGAAGCGCTTGCAGACGGAAAGGTGAAACTTGTATAAGTACCAACCCAGAAGCAAGAAGCGGACATTCTTACAAAGTCACTTCCAGCCCCGGCTTTAACACTTTTGAGAACGAAGATAGGATTGGAGACCATCAACTGAGAGGGGGCGAAGAGTTGGATCGAAGGAGCAGTTGATTTCTGTAGTTAAGAACTTGTTTACCCGTTATCAATAACTGAATACGAATTTCTTTTGCTCAGGAGAGAGTTTTCCAGTCTATTCTATACCAGGATTCCCGAGGAGAGATTTGATTAAAATTTAGAGATTTTGGCGCGGGTACTCAAAAGCTAAATGATTTGAGCTGAGGGACCGGCGCGTTCATGTTGTGAACCTCTGATCTATACAGAACCTCTGACCATACAGCACACCAGAAATCTGGCATCCCTGAACTCGATACTCACATTGCCTCGGCCGGAAAAACATCCTGAAAGAAGCCACGATCCTGAAGCTTCAGAATGTTACCCTCCGTATAGCACCGCTTCACCTGCTGCAGCACGGTCGATCGTTTCGCCAGGCAAAGCCCAAACCTCCTTAGAATCATCGTACTTTCACTATCTTCTGCGGAAAAACTATTCCAATCACCCGCACACTCGTTGCTCCATTCGGTTACTCAACTGCGATTGTTTTGACAGCGATTTGTTTACAGTCCGATCCCTGCGGGAAAAGAACGACAACCAATCATCATCGCTGGTGCGATGCACCACGAGAAACGTCAATTTCAGCACTATGCACTCAGTAACTGCAGTTTTGTTTTGATTCGGTTCAGTCCGCCTGGCGGGGGAGAAAATTGTTTTTTGTTTTCCCTCAAGCGTTTTTCCAGGAAAATCCGCTGCGTTCGTTTTAATTGGGTGTTTTCTAGTGTTTCATTAGATTTAGCAATAAAAGTTGTGAAAAAAATTCGCGACAGCAGTGCAAAAAGTGCTGACACCATTTCGACCGGAAATGAATAGTACTGGCAATAATTAACTTCAATCAAAAACTTGCGTCAGCACAATGTGGAAACTTTGCAACATCAGCCGTAACCAGTACTTCCTGGTGGGATTGCTGATCGGATTCCTGTACAGCTACTACATGCCGCAGGATTTGACGGAGATCGTCACAGAATGCCCGGAGGCAACGGAGAAAGAGCATCTCCTCGGTGAGGAAGCCAAGTATGGGAGTGAATTCGAACCGCAGCTGAATTTGGAACAGAAACCGATGATCGCCAAGAAGCAGGTGAAGAACATCGTGCGACCAAGATACTACTACACGGAGCTGGGGATCCGCGAGAAACTGTTCGTCGGAGTGATGACCACCCAGGAAAACATCGACTCGCTGGCAACGGCTATCAACAAGACTTCGGCGCACTTGGTGAATAAGATTAAGTTCTTCATCAACGCCGACAATGTGAAGACGAACTTCAAACTGAAGAACATTGTCGGATTCACGGATACGCGGGAGAATCTGCGGCCGTTCCATGTCCTCAAGTACATAGCTGATAACTATCTGGATGATTACGATTACTTCCTGCTGGTAACGGACACTGGCTACATCAATGCGAGGCTTCTGAAGGAACGTCTGTCGCACATCAGCATTAGTTTCGACATCTACATGGGCACCGCCCACGGGGCAACCCTGCACGAAGACGAAGACAAACCCGCCGACGCACAGTACTGCGACCTACACGCCGGTATCGTCCTGAGCAGCAGCGTCATCCGCAAGATCCGAGCCAATCTCGATTGGTGCGTCCGAAGTGCCGTTTCCAATCAGCACAATCTAAACATTGGCCGTTGCGTCAAGTACTCCAGCAAAATCGACAGCTGCCAGCCTTCCTGGCAGGGAATCAACGTCACCAGTTACAAACTTAATAGCTACAAAATTTACCGGGACCTACACCTGATCAAACACGAGGACACATTCAACAAGGCATCCGTCGTCTATCCGATCACCACGGCGGACGATTTTTATCTGCTGCATGCCTACTTCTCTCGTGTCCACCTGGAGGAGATCAATCAGCACAAGAAACGAATCCATCAGCAAGCTTCCACCATCTCGAATGGGACCCTTCCGAATGACATCCTGGAAGTCCGGTGGCCTTTGGGTGTCCCGAAACCCAATCCACCGGAGTCGCGCCACGACGTCGTCCCCTGGACGCATCTCAATTTGACGCACTCGTTCATGTGGAACGCGGAGGTGAACGTCCGGCCGCTGTCCACGGTCGACGCCGAAGATATGCAGAACATTCTGAACAAAACCGTCCTGGAAGCGTACCGCACGAGCTCGGATCTCGAGTATCGCAGTTTGCACTCGGCGTACCGGAAGTTTGATGCCGTACGGGGCATGGACTACCGGATGCATTTGCACTTTTACGACCGCAAGCGGAAGGAGTACCTGCTGAAGTCGTTCGAGGTGGTCAAACCGATCGGGTTGATCGAGATCGTACCGTCGCCGTACGTGACGGAAAGTACCCGGATAGCGATTCTGCTGCCCACGTTCGAGCACCAGGTGCGGGAAGCGTTGCAGTTTGTGCAGAACTACGAGCGCGTTTGCATGGACAATCAGGACAATACGTTTCTGATGCTGGTGAGTTGTAGTTTGGCTTTGTTTTGACTTTTGAATTGCTCATTGATACTTTTGGTTGGAAACTTAATTAACTGCAATCCAGTTCTATGAATGTACGCCGAATAGATTCACTGGATTTGGCCCTGAACCAATCGTGCGACAACCACTATTCGGGTTTTCTGTTCTGAAGATTCATTCTCTGTTCCGCAATCTAGCGCCAATCACCGACGGACATCGATTGCGTAATCGTTAAGGATCATTTTTTTCAATGCTGAAACAGTTAAACTTGTCATTCCAGATCTTGATACCTGTTTTAGGCCATAAAGCTTCTTCTTCAAACGGCATACTAATCCTTCTCCTACTTCGTAGCCCTCCGGTTGCGACATATAGATTTCTGCTGCAAGATCTCCATTGAGGAAAGCCGATAGAACATCCATTTGATGGATATGCATTCGTTTTTTATTCGGCACAGCTAATAAGGATCTCAGTGTGTCTAATCTGTCTACACCCATTTGCAAGACACTTCGTTCAGTCCCACGGGAAGCTTCACTAGTTCCCATGTGCTATTTAGTTTCAGAGCATCCATATCCGCCTGGATGGCTACCATTCATCTTGGTCAGTCATCCCTCTTCTTCAGCTCTGCTACAGTACTCGGCAAGTTGTCATACAGGAGGCTTCCTGTTCCGGGTCCCAGTTGTTAGTTCACCACTGGACTCAGCCCGAGTTGCTTCGTCACTGTCCTTCTCGCGTGTGGTGTCATACTTGCTATCGACATCTTCTGCTTCGGAGCCATCTTTAACATCCGACTCGTTATGATCGCTCTGCAGCTCTTCCTGGGAACTCTCATTCATAATCGATTCACTCGATACACGAATCATCGTTGTTATAGATTGCTCCTTCTTGCTTGATTCCACTTTGGCGTTCTCGTCGATGATAACGTCACGAACTGTGGCGATCCGTCGTTCTTTGGCATTCCATACACGATACCCGTTCGCTCCGTAGCCCACGAGAATTCCCTTCCAGCTTTTCTATGGGCCGGAGATCCGAAAACTTTCAACTTCGAAACATCTCCGCTGGTGTCACCTCATGCCCAATCGCACAAGCAGGGCTCCTGTTTGCTAGAAACGTCGCCGTTTCAATCGCTTCTCCCCCATGATGTCTTGCTTATGCCGGAGTCGAACAACATCTAACGGGCCTTCTCCACGAGTGTTCGATTCATCCGTTCGCTCACTCCGTTTTGTTCGGAGGATTAAGGAACTGTGAACTTTATTTGGATTCCCTGCTGCTGGCAAAACGAACGCATCTGTTTGCCAACATACTCCCCACCGTTTTCCGAACGCAGGCAAGAAATCTTGGATCCAAACTTGGCAGTTGCTTGCGTCTCGTAGTCGTTAAAGTAGCTGGTTCACAATTCGCCAGCTGTTTCTCACCCTGCACCTTTTCCATGCCGTCGACCAGCCCTCCTCTCAACAGGCCGAAACGTCGAGGCCAGAGTTCATTGGCCTTATTTATTTGACCAGAAAATAATAGGGAATCGCACATACCTTTTGGGGTGCAGAAGTTGAGTTCATATAACTTATCTCGCCGAGTTCCAGTGGCCACCACCACCACCAAATCTCGCAGAGTCTCGACAAGGCCACCTGCATTCCAGCAGACTCCACCTTGCTGATGGAGAACAGGTTGGTCCTTGCCTCGGGGATGTGCACTCAAACGTCTACAATTTGCGATGCAGTCGTCTGAGATTTCCGTTGAAGTCATCTGGATGCTCTTACGTCAGAAACGTCGAAAACTCCTTTGAAATTTTTGATGAAATCGTCTGGATCCTCATCCATAAGAAGCGTCAGGAACTCCGTCGAAATCGTCTGAAATCTTCGTTGAAATCGTCCGGAACCTTCTCCGCCCGAAATGTCAGGAAACTTCGATGAAATCGTCTGATATTTGCGATGCAATCGTCTGGAATTTCCGTCGAAATGGTCTGGATTCTCGTCCGTCGCACTCCATCGCAATCGTCTGAAATCTTCGTTAAAATCGTCCGCAATCTCCTCCGCCAGAAACGTCAGGAAACTTCGTTGATTGAGTATGAAATCGTCTGGAACCTCCTCATCCTCATCTTAAGAAAACGTCAGGAACTCCGTCGAAATCTTCTGAAATCTTCGTTGAAATCGTCCGAAACCTCCTCTGTCGGAAGCGTCGGGAAACTCCGTTGCAATCGTCTGGAATCTCCGTCGAAATCGTCTGAATTCTCATCCGTAGGAAACGTCAGGAACTCCGTCGAATCGTCTGAAATCTTCGTTGAAATCGTGCGGAACCTCCTCCGTCGGAAGCGTCGAGAAACTCCGTTGCAATCGTCTGAATTCTCATCCGTAAGAAACGTCAGGAACTCCGTCGAAATCGTCTGAATCTTCATCTTAAGAAAACGTTAAACACTCCGTCGAAATCTTCTGGAATCTCCGTCGAAATCGTCTGAATCCTCATCTTAAGAAAACGTTAGAAACTCCATCGAAATCGTCTGAAATCTCCATCGAAATCGTCTGAAATCTTCGTTGAAATCGTGCGGAACCTCCTCCGTCGGAAGCGTCGGGAAACTCCGTTGCAATCGTCTGAATCCTCATCTTAAGAAAACGTTAGAAACTCCGTCTAAATCGTCTGAATCCTCATCTTAAGAAAACGTTAGAAACTCCGTCGAAATCGTCTGAAATCTTCGGTGAAATCGTGCGGAACCTCCTCTGAATTCGTCTGAATTCTCATCCGTAGGAAACGTCAGAAACTCCGTCGAAATCGTCTGAATCCTCATCCGTAGAAAACGTTAGAAACTCCGTCTAAATCGTCTGGAAACTCCATCGAAATCGTCTGAAATCGTGCGGAACCCGCTCCGTCGGAAGCGTCGGGAAACTCCGTTGCAATCGTCTGAATTCTCATCCGTAGGAAACGTTAGAAACTCCGTCGAAATCGTCTGAATCCTCATCTTAAGAAAACGTTAGAAACTTCGTCGAAATCGTCTGAAATCTTCGGTGAAATCGTGCGGAACCTCCTCTGAATTCGTCTGAATTCTCATCCGTAGGAAACGTCAGAAACTCCGTCGAAATCGTCTGAATCCTCATCCGTAGAAAACGTTAGAAACTCCGTCTAAATCGTCTGGAAACTCCATCGAAATCGTCTGAAATCGTGCGGAACCTGCTCCGTCGGAAGCGTCGGGAAACTCCATTGCAATCGTCTGAATTCTCATCCGTAGGAAACGTCAGGAACTCCGTTGAAATCGTCTAAATCCTCATCTTAAGAAAACGTTAGAAACTCCGTCGAAATCGTCTGGAATCTCCATCTAAATCGTCTGAAATCTTCGTTGAAATCGTGCGGAACCTCCTCCGTTGGAAGCGTCTGAATTCTCATCCGTAGGAAACGTTAGAAACTCCGTCGAAATCTTCTGAAATCTTCGTTGAAATCGTCCGAAACCTCCTCTGTCGGAAGCGTCGGGAAACTCCGTTGCAATCGTCTGGAATCTCCGTCGAAATCGTCTGAATTCTCATCCGTAGGAAACGTCAGGAACTCCGTCGAATCGTCTGAAATCTTCGTTGAAATCGTGCGGAACCTCCTCCGTCGGAAGCGTCGAGAAACTCCGTTGCAATCGTCTGAATTCTCATCCGTAAGAAACGTCAGGAACTCCGTCGAAATCGTCTGAATCTTCATCTTAAGAAAACGTTAAACACTCCGTCGAAATCTTCTGGAATCTCCGTTGAAATCGTCTGAATCCTCATCTTAAGAAAACGTTAGAAACTCCATCGAAATCGTCTGAAATCTCCATCGAAATCGTCTGAAATCTTCGTTGAAATCGTGCGGAACCTCCTCCGTCGGAAGCGTCGGGAAACTCCGTTGCAATCGTCTGGAATCTCCGTCGAAATCGTCTGAATTCTCATCCGTAGGAAACGTCAGGAACTCCGTCGAATCGTCTGAAATCTTCGTTGAAATCGTGCGGAACCTCCTCCGTCGGAAGCGTCGAGAAACTCCGTTGCAATCGTCTGAATTCTCATCCGTAGGAAACGTTAGAAACTCCGTCGAAATCGTCTGAATCCTCATCTTAAGAAAACGTTAGAAACTTCGTCGAAATCGTCTGAAATCTTCGGTGAAATCGTGCGGAACCTCCTCTGAATTCGTCTGAATTCTCATCCGTAGGAAACGTCAGAAACTCCGTCGAAATCGTCTGAATCCTCATCCGTAGAAAACGTTAGAAACTCCGTCTAAATCGTCTGGAAACTCCATCGAAATCGTCTGAAATCGTGCGGAACCTGCTCCGTCGGAAGCGTCGGGAAACTCCATTGCAATCGTCTGAATTCTCATCCGTAGGAAACGTCAGGAACTCCGTTGAAATCGTCTAAATCCTCATCTTAAGAAAACGTTAGAAACTCCGTCGAAATCGTCTGGAATCTCCATCTAAATCGTCTGAAATCTTCGTTGAAATCGTGCGGAACCTCCTCCGTTGGAAGCGTCTGAATTCTCATCCGTAGGAAACGTTAGAAACTCCGTCGAAATCTTCTGAAATCTTCGTTGAAATCGTCCGAAACCTCCTCTGTCGGAAGCGTCGGGAAACTCCGTTGCAATCGTCTGGAATCTCCGTCGAAATCGTCTGAATTCTCATCCGTAGGAAACGTCAGGAACTCCGTCGAATCGTCTGAAATCTTCGTTGAAATCGTGCGGAACCTCCTCCGTCGGAAGCGTCGAGAAACTCCGTTGCAATCGTCTGAATTCTCATCCGTAAGAAACGTCAGGAACTCCGTCGAAATCGTCTGAATCTTCATCTTAAGAAAACGTTAAACACTCCGTCGAAATCTTCTGGAATCTCCGTTGAAATCGTCTGAATCCTCATCTTAAGAAAACGTTAGAAACTCCATCGAAATCGTCTGAAATCTCCATCGAAATCGTCTGAAATCTTCGTTGAAATCGTGCGGAACCTCCTCCGTCGGAAGCGTCGGGAAACTCCGTTGCAATCGTCTGAATCCTCATCTTAAGAAAACGTTAGAAACTCCGTCTAAATCGTCTGAATCCTCATCTTAAGAAAACGTTAGAAACTCCGTCGAAATCGTCTGAAATCTTCGGTGAAATCGTGCGGAACCTCCTCTGAATTCGTCTGAATTCTCATCCGTAGGAAACGTCAGAAACTCCGTCGAAATCGTCTGAATCCTCATCCGTAGAAAACGTTAGAAACTCCGTCTAAATCGTCTGGAAACTCCATCGAAATCGTCTGAAATCGTGCGGAACCCGCTCCGTCGGAAGCGTCGGGAAACTCCGTTGCAATCGTCTGAATTCTCATCCGTAGGAAACGTTAGAAACTCCGTCGAAATCGTCTGAATCCTCATCTTAAGAAAACGTTAGAAACTTCGTCGAAATCGTCTGAAATCTTCGGTGAAATCGTGCGGAACCTCCTCTGAATTCGTCTGAATTCTCATCCGTAGGAAACGTCAGAAACTCCGTCGAAATCGTCTGAATCCTCATCCGTAGAAAACGTTAGAAACTCCGTCTAAATCGTCTGGAAACTCCATCGAAATCGTCTGAAATCGTGCGGAACCTGCTCCGTCGGAAGCGTCGGGAAACTCCATTGCAATCGTCTGAATTCTCATCCGTAGGAAACGTCAGGAACTCCGTTGAAATCGTCTAAATCCTCATCTTAAGAAAACGTTAGAAACTCCGTCGAAATCGTCTGGAATCTCCATCTAAATCGTCTGAAATCTTCGTTGAAATCGTGCGGAACCTCCTCCGTTGGAAGCGTCTGAATTCTCATCCGTAGGAAACGTTAGAAACTCCATCGAAATCGTCTGAAATCTTTGTTGAAATCGTTCGGAACCTCCTCCGTTGGAAACGTCAGGTCCGGTGAACTCATCTGAAATTTGCGATGCAATCGCCTGTAATCTGCGTAGAAATCGTCTGGCTCCTCATCCTAATCCCATTTTTCCGAAAATACTCATAGAACCATGCTTCAGAGTCTCTGTCTATGCTGCCAGTTTATTCCCGAAATCCCCCTGATTCCCTTGAAATTCTACTCACAATCACCTTGAAATCAATCCTAAGATTTCAATTTGCCTCTCAACTCTTCTTCAGATTTGTTTTATTAGAATCGCTGTCGCTTGAAATGATCCGTTAGAAATTCTGACGTAGGTACTTCAATGCATTCTATTCTTAAATAAAAAGCTAAGGTTCTCCTGGAATTCTCTGCGAATTCCAGGAGAATGGGGTTTCCGACTAAAAATCACGTCATTAAAGTATTCGAAAAATGTTCTTCCACTCGCAGATCTTCTACTACCGGACGGACACCCCCAGCAAAGGCGACGACGATGTCTTCCTGCCGCTGAAGAACCTCGCCCTAGGCCTCACGGAAAAGCACAAACAAGACGGTTCCCGGATCGCGTGGGTCTCGATCCGCCTTCCGCCGGAGCTGAGCGCCCCGTTCAACCTAAACCATCTGTACTCCACGTCCCTGAACGGGCCCAATCAACTGCTCAGCTTTGCCGCCACCGATCTGGCCCTGCGCAAGATCGGCCTGGACAGTCTGGTGATGGTCTGCTCCAATGCGGCCACCTTCCGGTCGGATTTCCTCAACCGTGTGCGGATGAATACCATTGCCGGCTTTCAGGTGTTCAGCCCGATCGGCTTCACCATGTACCCCTGCCGGTGGACGAAGCTGTGCAAGGAATGCGACGGATGCGACGTCGGTCAGAGCAGCGGCTATTTCGATCGGGCCAACTATGACGTGGTGTCGTTCTACAGTCGGGACTACGTCGAGTCGAGGAAGCTGCTGGAACAGCAACTGCCCATCGTGCGGAGCGATCGGGATATCGTCAATTTGGTCAACTATACACAGGAAGACGGGATCCAGAATGTGGCGGAACTGTTCGTGCGAGCGAACACCAAGATTCACGTGCTCAGGGGTATCGAGCCGAATCTGAGATTGGGACGAGCGATGGAGAACTTCCTGGCGACGGATCCCGAGGGCGAGCAACTGGTAACGTTGAAATGCGAGGAAACAAACGAGAAACTGTGCGTGCGGATCGCTTCCAAGAAGCAGATTGGAGACGTTCTGGTGCAATACGGAAACAGTCAGGAGAACGAGGTCAAGAAGTAGGGCACCGTCTGCCGCTGCTGGAAAACTAGTGACAATACAGGTATGCAGGTAGCATTTTTAGTCGAATAGTAATTGATTCTTAGACAAGTAAAAACTCTTGCCAAATAACTATTTGTAAGGTGTCTGTCTGCCAAGTTAGGTCTTCTTAGGATTAAGTTAAGTCGGTATTTACTCATCTCCCCGTCGGGAAGATATTGTTTGTGTGTAGGATTTTAACGTCAATAAAAGTGCCTTTTTCACCTAAGAACTCGACTCGGACAATTCTTTCCGTTCCATTCCAGAAAGCACCCCTGCTAATTTAAATGCATTTGGATATAATTCCACTAAAAATCACATAAAAATATAATGACTAAAAAAACCGAAAATCCTTCCCCCCTCCAGACCGAGAGCGAAAGTCAACTAAAAGTAAAAACATACCAATCAAAGCATGAAACGCATTCGGTTTCATTTGTTGTAATACCCACGGCTTTGGTGGTGCTGCTGCTGCCGCTGCTGTCGGAGCTCTTTCCGTGTTTCTCTAATCAACTGTTTGGTGGTGTTCTCATCGGCATCGTCCCATCCCGCCCGCGGTCCATCATCGTTCCAATCGGTCAAACCGTCCTCCACTGGAATGTCGATCTGGGCCGTTAGGCGACTGAATTGCGCTCCGCCATCCCCCGGCCCGTCCTCCGCAATGCAAACCATCTGCTGGGAGAATGTCTTCGGTGCCATGTCCTGGAAGAAATCCATCTGCTCCTCCGGAGGGGGCTCCTTGGGCGGAGGGGGAGCAACCAGCTGCTCCCGGTAGCGCTCGATATGCTCCTCGACCGTCGACGGTGAATCGTCCCACGAATTCCAGTCTTTTTCAACAACGTTCTGAAAGAACACAAACAATAAACACCCAGACAAGAATGTATGACAAACGCCAACGGGACTCACCTTATATCTAGACGCCGCCGAATCACGGACCACGTCAACGGAACTGAGCATCGCATCGCCACCGCCGCCACTCTCACTGGTAGAGGCTTTCCTTCGGCGGGAACAGCAACACAGGATCCGCTTGAGCAGGGCCGCCACGGTCACCAACAAGTGCCGCAGCCGGGTCATCACCAGATTGGTGATCATATCACTCACCCCCCTATCAGTAATTATTACACTCACTAAACACTATGCATACGCGCGGTATTAAGTTAAAAAGAACGATTAGGAAATTATCCAAAGTTACAAATGTAGCAGTCCATATGTGAGGCAGGAATGCTGGGAGAAAATCGAATAAAATCAGCGGAGGATTTCGGAATCCGGACTATCCGAAGGTGGTTTTAATTTTCAGCAGAAACGGCAGAAACTTGACCGTTTTTGACACATGTAATGTTTACGTTTTCAGTTTCGTTCATGCATGAACACCACTGCTGGATGATGAACCGTGAGCTAGGGGTGTCCATAAAATGGAAACATTATAAAATAATCAAAGATCTTTAAATGGTGGGATCGAAGAACCACATTCATTCCAAAATATTAAAAATAAATAAATTATCGTGTAAATTATTCAGTTTTTTTATGCTATGGGACCATGCAGTTATTACGTAAAACGCTGTACAGACTGGAGAGTTATGCTGTACTCAGAATAAATATATTTGCTGCGAGTAAATTTGAGTTGCTCATATTTACTCAAAAATGAACAAAGTAGTCTCGTATTTTTCATCATAAAAAGTTCTGGGAACAACCACCGTCTGACATAATGTTTTGTTTAAATATTTTAAATTAAGAGAAAATTTAGTATTTGGCGTTAGATCATCAACTTTAATCTAGCACGAGATCTAGCATGAAGTTCATGAAACGACAATATTAAGTTTTCATGTATTAAAAGATCCAAGTTACTTTGCTTTTGTCCAGGCCATGGGCCTCTTTTACTTTCTAGGGTTTCATGATCTTTGAAGTTTTTCGTGATGTGGTCGTGTAACATATTGTATCTCTAATTCAACAAAACATTCAAAGTGTTTTATGTTACTTTATACGCGAAGTTAGCGATTTTCAGAGTTGGTTGGAAATGCTAATATGAAGCTTTAGTGTGATAATTTATTAGCTAGAGAATGATCTTTAGAAGAGAGTAGGTGGATAGTTCCTTTAGAGTACGGCAGTATGAAAATTGAATAGAAGTTGAAAATGAGCGAAGGGCCATTAATGCGACAGTTTTTAAAGCAAGACGCACATCTTTTGCCTAGCCCGTACGATGTACGCGGAGACTTGAAGTATGTCATATGCTGTCCGAATATAGGATCGTAAATCACGACGTAATAAGACGTAATCACCTTCCAATCAAAATAGTTTTCGATGTTACTTAAGTCACCAAATTTGTATGGAGATGCCGTTTGACTTAAGTAACAGCGCTGAGAACCCCGTGAAAAGTGTACGTTCGTCGTTTCGCTTTCTCATTATTAAAGTGAATAAATCGAACTGTTTGTTCCTAACGAGGTTGCTAAGATGATTTCGGTGGTCCTAAAATGATGAATGGGCTGCACGTAAGGAGACGTAATTGATAATTCTCCCGAATATCCTGGTAAATACAGTTTGACTTAAGTAACAATAGGGGCCACCAAATGACGTATAATAACTTTTGACTCAAAAACCAGTATTTTTTAGCATGAAAGCTAGCGATTTGCATTTGTATGATTAAAATCCTGCCAAGGGGTTGGTCACTCTACACAGTGTGCCAAAATCAAACTGGGGCACATCGGGGTGCAGTCATTGACGTTGTTTGGCACCCATGGTTACAATTTTTATGATCTTCAAAGTTACTGGCAACACTGAACTTTTTCTGCGCCTGCCCAGTGTGCATGTGTCAAAATTTGTTATTGACGTTGCCACTCCTAGTCAAATTATTTTCAAAACAACCGTGAATCTCCACCAAGTCTCACAATGGATTCTCAAAATCGTTACACCCGTGACGGCAGTCGCATCCACATTTCCTCTCATACGAAGAACAGCTGACAGCGGTATCTTGACCTAACCGAGGTTTCCGGCCATGGCTACACGAACTAGCGATGCAGCTCCCACGGCTGCGGCTGCTTCCAATGCTGCTGCTGGTCCGTCTTTTTTGACGAATTTTAGAGGAGACGGACCAGCAGAAGGAACAGCAGCAGCAGCATTGGAATCAGCCGCAGCCGTGGGAGCTACATCGCTAATTTGTGTAGCCGTGGTTGACGCTGGAAATCTTGGGCCGGTCACGACAAGCGGTGCTTGAGTTTTAATCGGAAAGTCAACAACCAAGCAAAACTGCTCGAATACATCTATGGCGGTGGCTGCTGCATCAACCATTCCATCGTCCAACATATAATGTTGGAGGGCCGTCTTGGCAAAATCTCAAATAGTTCAACAAATTTTTACTCTCGTTCCTTTTTGCAGTTCCAACTAACACAATAAGAAATTATAATTACGAATCATAACATTAACTACCCAGAAAAAGGAAAATCCTTTCTTTTCTCAGAAAATAAGCTTCCGCTCTTTCAAAGCTAACGTGTTTTCGGTGTTCTCGTTGCTCCACGCACCGTTCATCTTCTTGGAGGAGGAGAAGCACAGCTTCATAATGAACGGGAGTTTTGTGCATTTGTGATCATCGCGCTGTGGTTGCGCTTCATGATGACGTTCACCGCCAGGGCTACCCTAATAAAAAATAACCATAAACGAACGATAACCCAAATCATTGAACTATTCCATAAATGGTTTGGATGATACCCAGAACACGTCGTTAAGCAAATTAACCATACAATTTTTATTAGGGTACGCTCGGGAACTCGACCAATCCGGAGGAGGAACTTCCCGATTTCAGCGGGAACATTCGCACTTGCGACGGGTGGCAGCCCTTGGTGGTGAATGCAGTCAGCAGCAGATCCTCGGACGGCATACGGGTGGGTTATTGAAGAAGTGGAGAATGCGATTATTGCTGGCCTGGGAAGCGATTGTTCTTGGAGGCGCTGTAGACCTTGAAGCTGATCGAATTGTCCTGTAGGGTGTACGGGTTGGTGGACTCTGACAAGTAGCCCAGGTAACAATTTGATGCTTAACAAGTGTTGTTCAATCGATTTTAGTTCAGCCTTAGTTTGAATAATTGTTGTACATAGACCACGTTAACCTTTGTTCAGCTTTTAAACATCTAAATCTGGTGATTTTAATCAGCCAAAAGCTTAACAGTAATATAAATTATAAGCTTTTTAAGGCATTAAATAACAGTCTTTTCCAACCCTTGTTCAGCCTTCTAGTTTTATTAAGAATAAAATAATTTAAGACCGCTTCATACCTTATATATTTTTATGGGACTGCAACAAGGTGCTGACTAACTAATTGGATTTACAGATTCATATTGTTATTATAAGTCTAAAAATTACTGTAGGGATTATTGACTATTATCGCTACAATTACCTTTGCATTTCGGGATTCGAACTGGCAGTCACTGATTCACAGTCATCAGTCATACCTACTGGACCACTTAAGCATATGTGTGGAAAGAGGTATGATCATTAACTTGAAACACGTCAAATTTAAGTTGAATAACAGCAACCGGAAGAGTATTATACAGCAATGCAGAATTGTAAACACAGAAATATAAATGTTAATGCTTCCAACGTCGTCGCAGCCTACTTCTACCTGGGGCGATTCATAAAAAGCTCCTCTACCTTGTCTCTACTGCTGCCGTTGCTTGGGATTATAAAGGTAGGCAGTGAATGTAGAAGGACTAAAATGCCGGAAATGCAACGAGTTACACTGACTACATTTAACAAATCAGGCTATCAAAATATTTGTAGTGCATTGCTGATTTGTGGAGTAGTGTTAAGCTTAAATAAGGCTTGTTCAATCCTTAGATCAGCTAACTTATTGAGGTTGAATTATGGGGATGCAATTAGCTTCATCAACTACTAATCAACTATATATTCAGCCTGCTTTTAATCAGCTTTGTACACCTTAAATCAACCAATAATCAGCTTCTGTTCTCACTGTTCAGCTTGAATTGTTACTTGGGAAAATTCGGTGCAAATCCATTTCCTCCACCGGCTCCCAGGGTTGGTTGACTAATGATTGACGTTCGTTGTGCGGAGTCGGCCTTACGCTAAAGATGAAAGGATCGAGTAGCAACGGAGCTCGTCGGAGCTTACGACATAATGAAAATTTGCTCCTGATAATGTTCATTTTGGCCCTTTTTAGGTAAACATATTGATACTCACAATTTTCGACGAAAAACGCAACGGAACTTGATTTACTCAACACGCACCATACACAGCAAAAAAAAATGTAATATCGATCAACGTAATTCAAGCTGATGTATGAAAAAATGATGTAATAGCAAAAAGCAGATACAATATTACATCAATGGATGTAATTTTGTTCGCAAAATCGATGTACATCGTACAATGTGATATTACGCAACCGATGGATTGACCTGGTTGCAGCAGTTTCGATGTAATATTCAACAACTTTTTTTGCTGTGTACTATAAAATGGTGCTCGATGGTTTATAGAGTGATAAAAAGATGACAAATCATCTTTATTTTGAGTAATTGAGCAATTTACTTCTGTTTACATCATATGTACGATGCAGCATTGATGGAGCCATGAAATGAAATGAATATATCTTATGAAAGTTCATCTGGAAAAGCCAAAGATGCACATCAGTCTGATCGTAAAAACGTTTTCTTCTTCAATTCGAATGTTATATTAGAAGGATTTTACGCAGGATTGATGAAAGTTATGATTTAATGCTATTTTTCACGTATTTTATATGCAGTCTGTCAACATTATCATCACCATGCAGTGGCGACATCTGCGTTGAGCTTTTGCGGCAATCCTCCAATTATTCGAATAATATATTTGAAACAATATAAAAAATATATTAGGCCCTGAGTCAAAAATATATCCATTTGAACTTTTCTGATTGACACTCAACTCACGGGAGCAGCAATCAAGAATTTCGCCGTAGCTCACATCATTTGATGAATATGGGGATTAGGATGACTAAAACAGACTACTCTATCTAGTATTCAGCACTGCGATGCAAGTGTGAAAGAGAAAGCAGTTTTGATCTGTCGTACCTCCGTCAGTTTTACCAACAATCAATTCGAAACTTACGATTTTAAATTGGCTCACTACTTGACTAGCCTATTGGTTTCTTTGGGCCTACTAGTCTTAGAGTTACCTCTATGGTTTTACCGCTGTCAGTATGCTCAAAAATGTCTGATTGTCTGAAAATTCCAAAAACAACATAATCTACGGTGCATCTATACGTGGATAGAGTGCTCCTGTGTAAAACACAATACGAATTAGAAGTAAATTTTAATCGGATCAATTTATAAATATTTCTTAAGCCTAGTATACAGATCGAAGCGAAAAGAAAATTGATGCACGCGAAAAATCATGAAATTTCGCTAGCGAAGAAGATTGTGAAAAAATGTTTGTGGAACATTTCCCAGTTTCCTTTTTTCGCAGTGTACAGTTCATGTGAAACGAAATCGATCAGTTTACACCTCCGGTGAAGTGAAAATCTGACAGATACGCTCTTTCTCGAAACCTCAACTTTTCGCTTAGCTTCTGCTCTTTTCGCTAGCACTGCATGCGCGAAAGAAAATAAACGTAAGCGAAAAAGATACGATCCTCAAAATTAGATTTCGCTGGATCGTATCTGTTTACAGTTCAAAGCGAAAAGAAAAATTTGCCACTTGCCTTTAACCATTAAATCGAGCATTAAATAATTATGTTTAGTAAAATTTGTGAGTGCAATCACAACCTACATACCATTTCCTATTAATCTTGGTGTGAATGAATTCAAAAATGAACTCCAACCCTCGAACATAACGCCTGCAGGTTGTAACGCCCCGTGAAGTGCAAAAAGCTGTCAAACTTTCATTTTAAAAAGCGGCGGTTTTTATGTTGTCCAGCGGGAGCGTTTGCAGCGCACTAGTTTCGGAAAATGTTTTAGTTTTGCGTGTTTATATTTTAAAATATTGTCGTTTTTGAGATTAATTAATTCGTTTAATATTACTTTGGTTAGTTCTGTTCTGTTTCTTTTTTCGATCGAGTGAAATTGAGTTGAATCCGGGACAATGGCGAATTCAGCGGCCGACTCGGTGAAGGTGGCGTTACGCATTCGACCGTTAAACCAACGGGAACGGGAACGCGGCTGCCGGATTGTGGTCGAGCAACCCGCCCACCGGGAACCGCAAGTGGTCATTGGGAATGGGATCAGTGGAAAGCCGGAGGGGTTTACGTTCAACTATGTGTTCTCGCCAGAGGAATCGCAGGAGTACTTGTATGAAACTTCCGTCCAGCCTTTGCTGGAGAAGTTGTACGCTGGATATAATGTGACGATTCTGGCATATGGACAGACTGGATCGGGCAAGACATATACGATGGGAACGAACTATGATGGGGAAGAGGACGAAACGATGGGAGTGATTCCGAGGGCAATCAACGACATTTTCGGACGGATCGACGAAATGGCGGAGGATTCGGAGGTGACCATTAGCTGTTCGTTTATGGAGCTGTATCAAGAGAATCTGTACGACCTGTTGTCAAACAAGGGAAACCGGGAAGAACGGGTTGTGGACATTAGGGAGTCAAACAATCAGATTGTCATTCCGTGCTTGACGGAGGTTCAGATCCGAACGGCGGAAGAGACATTCGAAGCACTGATGACGGGATCGCAGGAGCGGGCGGTTGCTTCGACGGCGATGAATGCCGTATCGAGTAGGAGTCATGCGATTTTCACGCTTAATCTGACGAATCGTTCCAAAGGTGATCAGCCGACGGTAACGAATAGTAAGTTTCATCTGGTGGATTTGGCTGGATCGGAACGGCCTAAGAAGACACAAGCGACCGGGGAACGTTTCAAGGAAGGAGTAAAGATCAATCAAGGTCTGTTGGTGCTGGGCAATGTGATTTCGGCGTTGGGGTCCGCTGGTGGACCATTGGGTCATGTGCCCTACAGGGAGTCGAAGCTAACTCGACTGTTGCAGGATTCCCTTGGGGGCAACTCGCTTACGTTGATGTTGGCTTGCGTTTCGCCGGCGGATTATAATTGCGAGGAGACGATCAATACGCTACGGTATGCGAACCGGGCCAGGAACATCAAGAACAAGGCGGTGATTAATCAGGATCCAAATCAGGCGGAGATCCGTCGGTTGAATTCAATTATTCAGGAGCTTCGTATGGAACTATTGGCTTACAGTGCCGGAGGGAAGGAAAATGTTACAGGTATGGGTGAATTCCGATTGATTTATTAGTTGAAATGGCAGTTGAGTAATTGTTTTGTTTAATGCATTCCAGCGAATCGCGCCTCGACGGTTCCCGGGGGCAAATCTGGAATTGTTCGTTCTACCAGCGAGCAACAGTTGGGTAATGGATTCATTCCGACCATGGAAGTCGTTCGTCGGGAGAAGGAAATGGCAGACAAGATTCGAACGCTACAGCAGCAGCTTCAGTCCGCGCTGCAGGATATGGCCAACGATCAATTACGAACGCTGACGGCGGAGAAGATTGTGGAAGAAATCGAAGCTTTGCTGGCGACCAGTCCTGACTCGGATTTAAAGCAGGGCATCCAAGCGATCCTTGATGGATACAAGGAGGAAACGGCTTCGATTCGAACGGAGTCGCAAATATCCGATGCCTTGATGCATTCAGCGACCGAAGAGTTCCAGAATCGATCCGATACACACACACAAAAGCAAATGAAGATCCGCGATGAGTTGAGACAGCTGACCCGAGAACTGGAACTGAAGGAGGAGTTGCACCGGAAGTGTTTGGGCAACATGTCCAACTTGACTTTTACCGTGGATGAAAGCAACAGCGGCAGCAACGAGAAGGTCGAAGAATATGAGGGCAAGATCAAAGATTTGGAGAAGCAAATTGAAGATCTCAATGATCAGCTGAACACGACGAAGGTGGTGGATAAGAAGAGCAAACTGGCAGAGGAGCGTCGGAAGAAGGTTCAACAGCTGGAAGGCGATTTGGCGGAGCTGAGGAAGAAGAGCGTCCAGCAGGCCAAGATGCTGCAGTTGAAGGAGAAGGACACCCAGCGGATTCAGAATTTGAGTCGGGAGATCCAAGCCATGAAAGCAACCCGAGTGAAGCTGGTCAAGTCGATGCGAACGGAGAGTGAGAATTTCCGCCAGTGGAAGATCAATCGGGAGAAGGAAATTTGTCAGCTTCGGGAGAAGGATCGAAAGCTTAAAAACGAAATGGTTCGGCTGCAGACCGTTCATGATAAGCAGCAGAACGTGCTGAAGAGAAAGGTCGAAGAAGCGGTTGCCGTTAACAAACGGCTGAAAGAAGCTCTGGAACGACAGAAGAATGTTCAGGCTATGCGATCCGCCCGTGCCGTTGGCAAACCCGTTCGTGGTGCAGATGTCTCCTCCTGGGTAGACCACGAGTTGGAATTGATCCGCTCCGTAACGGACGCCTCGGTAACCCTCAAGCTTCTGATGGATGACCGAGCACTACTGAATACCAAGCTCATGGAAATGAAACAAAACTCGGAGGAACACAGTGAGGACGACATTAAACAGCAAGAACACGATCTGGAGCTCCGAAACGCTCAGATTGCCGACCTGCAGCAGAAAATTCTGTCCACCGACGTAGACTCCAAGCAGAAAGCCATCCTCGAAGGTATTCCCACTCTCCCGGAGGCGAAGCAAGTCCTCAAAAAACTCCTCACAGTATTCACCGAAACGCAGGAAGAATCAGCCAAAGCTCGGCACCAACAGGTCGACACCCGCTTATCGGTCGAATGCCTGGAGGAAAACGTTCGTCAATTGGCGTCGGAATTGGCCGAAACCAAGCAGCGCTTCACGGACGAAACTAACGAACTGGCCAAGATGTACGAGGAGAAACTGTCCATGCTGCTCCTGTCGAAGCAGAAGTTCGCTCGCCAATCGAAGGAAATGACCAACACGTGCGACTCGATCCTGCAGGAAGCGAGCGACCGGATGGAGAAGATGCGTCAGGAGCTGGACTCCGTCAAGGAAGCCAATCGGATGCTGAACAAGCACGTGGAAGACTTGAAGAACAGTCGGGGCGGGCGCCGCACCCGCAGCGCCAAGAATGTCGCCGCCGCTGCGGTTGTCGACGATGACGATGAGGACGACGCGGCCGAGGAGAGCATGGGCGACTCGGATCAGGAGCGGGATCCGGACTTTAGGGCGACTCCACGCTGGAAGCAGAAGAAGGTGAGTTGAGGGGATTTTGAGTGAGCTTCGTTGGTTTTATGAATTTCTGCTACTGCCAGGTTTGGAAGATTTTCGAAGCAATCAAGTCGTCAAGTGTTTGATGAAAGAAGCTTTTCGGTGAATGTCGATTCCAAGTAGAAAAACAATTGATCTAAAAGAAAATAATTCCTATTTCTCCTGAAAGTTTCCACTTTCTAACAAATTTTCCCCCATTTCCAGGCCGGCAGGGGCATGCGGGAATCGGTCATGAAGAAGGGAGCGATCAAAAAACGCACAACCGTGGACGCGAATGCCGCCGGAGAGAATCAATCTTCCTCCAATAACAATAGCAACAACAGCTCGACGGCAACCACGCACAATTCCAGCAACCAAGCGCACTGCAGCTGCGGAACGATCTGCTCCACGAAACGGTGCGGTTGCAAGAAGCTGGGCGAGTTCTGCGGCGATCACTGCCGTTGTCCGCCGGGGTGCGTCAATAAAAAATTCGATGAAAAGTCGCTGAAGGAGACGGAAGAAACGGGCGACCAGGAGATGGCCGACGTCAACAACGATAATAAGGAAAACTCGGTGCAGAATGGCAGCGGTCCGGAAGCTGCCAGATCGTTGGATAAGCGCAAATCGCAGGACGATAGCAGTGATGCCAGCGCGGAGGATCAGTCACCCAAGAGGATCAAGTATGTTGCCTTGATGATCGAACATTTCGATCGGCTGTTCTATTGACTGCTGGTTTTGTTGGCAATTTTAGGAACGACATTCTGACGCCGACTTATGTGTACTCCGTTAAAAAGAGGAAGCCCCTGCTGGATGCCATGTGAAGAAGAAGCGGGAGGAGACTTTAGACTTGATTCGCATTCATCGTTTAACATTCATCGCCGAATTAGGCCTATTTTATTCATTTTGACAAACACGAACCCATCTTCAATTGTTAGTAAGTATTTTTTTTAATTTAAATAACACGTTTTATTTTGCAACCAACATAAAAAATTGTCTGTTGATTATCGTTCGAAAGGTGTCCTTCGTCCTTCTGATTAGTATCGTGTTTTGTGACTGACGGTTGATAACGCTTGGCACGTGAAACTGCAAGCATTTGATCTATAGGTTATTTGAATGCAAAACACCGTTCATGGAATAATGATCAAAGCAATTCCAGTTAAAAAGAGTAGCGATCAAAATTTGATCGACTTAAACTTGACGCATTTCGTTTAATCGAGCATTTAAAAACCTGAACACCCCTCATTTTGTAGGTGTGCGTGCGTGCAGAATGATGCCTCTATTTTGATTTTGACATTAAATTTTGCTCTTCAGTTCAGTTATCAAAATGGCGTCCAAGCAAGAGGAGCAACGCATCAAAATTTTGCAAAAGTTCGGACGAGTCGGGAAGTACCGTGCGGGACCGAAATCCGTACAGCACCGAAATCCGTACACCCTGTTGAATTTGTTTATTTATATGCATCATAACAATGTAAATATTATACATGAATACATATTCATGTTCATTCATGCATTAGCTTGATGTTTACGTCAACAATTAAGCAGAATGTCATGCAATTGAAATAAGAAAAATAAAAACCTCAACACGTGTCGGGCATTGCTGTCAATCGGTTGCGTTCTTAACGATTTTCTAAGAAAATCTCTCGGATTTACTTCAGTTTGTTAAGCGTATTCCAGTGATGTTTGCAAGTAGTTTCCTGAAGGTCGATCGGAAAGGTTAGTGTTTATCGTTTTATATCTCAATTCTAAGCAATGGATCGTTCATATGGTATTTATTTATCAAAATTAGTACTGTACGGATTTCGATCCATATATAACAGTTGATTCTAAATCCGTACACTTGTGCATCACTCAAAGACGATTCTACTTTATCCAATGTTTTTCAGCAGATCATGGAAACTAAATACACGCCGGAGGATTTTGAGAAGTGGTTGTGGCAATGATGCGTGCGGAGAAATCTTACCGAGAAGCATCCAGGGATTTTGCCGTTCCATTCACCACCATATGCCGTATTGAATCGCTACTCTCTTATTTTATTCGTATTGTAAATGTTATATTATTAATATCTTTTAAAGAAGAGCGTCAAGAACCAGCCGAAAAGTAAAACACGCATATACAAATTAGGGACCATGCATTAATGACGTAGCATTTGAGGGGGAAGTGAGGGTTTCAGAATTTGTGACCGGCCATGTATTGGATATAGCCAAATACGCTACTAGGGGGGGTGGGGGGTTTAGGAATAAAAAATTGATCAAAAATATGCTACGTCATTGTTGGATGCTCCCTTACAGAGAGCAGACAGAAATGGGCCAGGGAGCATTCCCAGCAGTAGCTACCAGCGAGGAATGACCGGAAATACACATGAAAGTAGTGCGGGCGAAAATTGATAAAGAGAACGCAAAGAAACAAAGGATTGAGGAACGAAAAAAGAAAAAGGTTGAGCGAGAGAGGAAGAGGAGGAAGAAAAGGAAGAAGAGGAAAGAAAGTTCCCTAATAAACAAATACCAAGAACGAACTATCCCACAAATGGTTTGGATGATACCCCGAACGCGTCGTTAAGCTCTCTATTGTGGTTATTTTTATTAGGGTTGGAAGCAAGAAAGCATTATAACTTGAATAGGCAATGGTAACAATGGAGAAGAATCAGAAGAAAGCTGTGGAAAAGAAGCAATGAAAGATCTGCATTTTTATGATTATTACTCTCTTGACGTATTAAATTAAATTAAATTATAGTCGTTATTTTACTTATTTTAATTTTCATGCACAAAACAAAAAACTAATCCTTGATGTCAGTTCATTGTCTTTTTTTGTTGGTTTCTAAGATGGTTGTATTTTTTTTTTACTTATCCGCCATTATAGGGCTACCATCTTAGGAACCGTTTAATTTATCGCTTGATGCCAGTGGGTTGGTGGAGCGTTTCCATTATCGTTGTATTAAAGATGTTTCGGCAGTCTTCTCTTCAGTTTGCTATTATTGATTCAACAACATTGTCCAAGTTACACCGCCCAGTTTAGTCCCGGTTAATAATGTTTTGTAGCGTTGATCTGGAGTACCCCCAAGTTCCAAAGTATGGCGCATCATGCACGTTATCACATGTCAAATTTCAAAAACCTCGAAGTTGTGATCGGAGGAAAACTCCAGTAAGAATATTTAACCCAAAGCACTGGTATAGAATAAAATTTGGAGGAAATGAATCCTTAAACATGATATTAGTTAGCATAAAAATCCAGAACAGTCACCTTCTTAAATAAAAAGAAATCAGTTACCTCTCCTTTGAATCGATTGGAGCATCAATAAATCTAACGCTGATACCATTAGTTAAAAAAGTAAAAGTAAAAAAAAAATGAACTTGAACCTTTGACGAATGATTCTTATGTAAAATCGTGCGCTGAATTTAAAAATATAGTCGAAAAAAATGTCAGTAGGATAGTTTTCGAGATATAGCTAAAAATGAAAATTCACTTTAAACAAGTTTGATTACTATAATACAAATATCTCCGGTTGTAATGAGATTATATCAATTATTTTAACGCTAAATTAGAGGTTAGAAATTTTTTCGTTCGTTCAATTGAACATCAATTGTCAGTGAGATTGATGGTATTGTTGTTAGTTAATAGTTTGTTTTTTAAGTTTTCCTATGAAAAATTGAATTCCTGCTAAGTTTTTAAGCAATGTAAATTAAAATGTTTATGAAGGTTCTACCATTACTCTCACGGAAAAATAGTGTTATAACGATCGAAATAAAATTTTATCACGTTTAATTTGGCGTTAAAATAATGAAAATCAGTCCATTGCAGCCAGAGATATTTGTGTTTTAGTTTTTTTTTTTAAGTGAGAATTAATTTTTTAGCTAGGGGAAGGAGGGGCATAGTGAACAGGTGGGGCATAGTGAGCATCCCGCACTTTGGCTCTGGATCTCCAACTGAATGAAACAAATCAACTGATAGTAGGATCAATATCATGATGATATTGATCCTACAGCCAACAAATTTGTTCTGAACGGCCGGAAGTCCAAGCTGGAGCACGCGATGCTCACTATGCCCCACCTGTTCACTATGCCTCTCTTACCCCTATATCTCCAAAACTATCCTACTGAGATTTTTTTGGACTACATTTTTGGATTCAGCGCATGATTTTACATGGGAAATGACCATCAGCGTGCAAAGTTCAAATAGAGCATTTCCAGCCCAAAACGCAAACCGGTTGGTCATGAGTGTTTCCGATTTGAATGAAACATTTCTCACGTGTTCGCTGCTACTAATGGTTGCATTTTTCATTTAAATATGATTTTTCCCTCCAGAGTAACTTTTGAAAAGGGCGTATAAAAAAATGGATTAATTTTTTTTCAAAAAATCATAACTTGAAAACTATTGATCTGATCAAAATGACATATGAGAAGAAGTTTTAGGTAGTTAAATTATCTTTGCGGAAAAAAATACACTGAAAGAAAAACTTAGTAAATTAGTATTTAAAAAACGTAAAACGATGATTATCTCAAAACACCCCCCCTTCGATCTTTATAATTTTTTTTTTTTCAAGAAAACTGAAAAAATGCCCTAATATTTGGTGAAGAGTGTATGCTGGTAACTTTCTTAAAATTTTTTTTATAATTTTTGAAATTTTTGTTGGTTTTTACAAGTTGGTGAAATTGCATATTTTTTAGTAAAATAGTAATTTATTTGGATTTAACGCATAATTTTCAAAAACATTGCATATAGAAACTTTTTTCCTAAGTCCAGCCGTTCTCAAGTTAATGCAATTTAAAAAAAAATAATTATAATAATTTTCTACATTTTGGGCCATTTTCAAATGTTAGTCGTGATGTCCAGCAACGAGATCTTTTTCCATGAATATATATTAAAAAAACAGACAATTCATTCTCAAATATGGTAGCTGTCAGACTTACCCGTTTCTATTTAGACGCAGCGGAAAAGAAACAAGTTTATAAGTAAATATTCTCAAATATACCCAAATAATCAACAAACCCACTCATGTGCCTTTTTTCTGTCCTCTATTAGTTGTATACCTGGATAGAATTGTGTATGTCATAACAGAGGCTCAAAACATAAACAGGTAAACAAATATGTTATTAAACCTGTAATTGAGATAAATTCTCTAGGTACTTCTCTGACGTATACCATATTGTGCCTTAAGAGCTCATCCCGCGATATCACAACTACATAAAAAGGCACCCCGTGGAGGCTTCTTACACTCACACTTAAAAAAGTTTGCTATAATCAATTGTACCTAATGAAGAAAGGTATAATGTCAACATTGTAATTATTCTGCTACAGATATATATATATATTGGGACGTTCTTCACCTGTTCCATTCAGTTCATCTCTCTTAGCGTTTTAAGTTAAAAAGCAAGTAGTTTTTTACGATGGATAACAATTTCAAGTGTTGTAAACCTCCACCTAAATCAATTTCAAAGCATGACACAGTAGCAGTTCAGTTGTTTATCTCAAAAATTTTAGAATTTTTAAAGTTGCAAATAACAGTCCAAAAGTGTATTTTTATGTCAGATGGAGCAGCATCACAATACAAAAACATAAAAAATTTTGCTAGCATTTGTGGATTTAAAGATAAGCATAATGTAGAAATTGAATGGCATTTTTTTGCAACTTCACACGGCAAAGGTCATTGTGATGCGATTGGCGGTACCCTTAAGAGAATGGCAACCAGAGCAAGTTTAGCTAAGCAACACGAGCACCCTATAACGAACCCTTAACAACTGTACGACTGGGCAAATAGTCGTAAAGAAGATCTTCAAACAAAAATGTCATTTTGTTATGTTTCTACGGAAGAATACAAAAAGGCTGACACGGAATTTGATCCAATTTTTAAGAAAGTGAAACCAATTCCTGGAACTCGAAAATATCATTGCTATATTCCAGTTTCAAACAACCAAATTGCAGTAAAAATATTCTCTAATTCAAACGATACACCCAAATTATTCAATGTACATATTCAAATAATA